CATCTATGCTTACTCTATTCTAGTAGCTTGTCCAGCATTTTAGAGCATGTGTATCGGTTAAGAATTGAGTAAGATATGTGTTCCTAGGTGCCTTGCTCAAATTAGGGTTTTATAGTGTAAAACGTGACCCAATTGCTTGCGTAGCTGACACTAAAATTAAAAGTGTGGACACCCGGTCACTTTGCCGCCACCGATCGGTCACGGGCCGTGACACGGATGCCCTGCAATCGACGTGAACCGCGTCACCAGTACCGACGGTACTCTGACGAGTACTGACCGGTTCGACGGTCAACCGTAACAGCCGGTTTTGCACCCTAGGTGGCTTGTGCAGAGTCCGCGACAAGATCCGACCACATGGGCTGGCATGTGCATCCGATATGTTACATAAAAATAGATTCACCGGATGGCATTGAAAGCGAGTCTCAGTGTGCATATAGTAATAGTCCTCCTACGGTACGTCTGGCCAGGCGGTGCCGCCCGCCGGTATCTCTGCATTCATGTACATGGGCTGCAGATCATGATTATGCCATCACCGGCAAGGCAATACGTAGCTGAGCAAATGTAGGGCCTTACAATCATGAATGTGTCAGTGTGCACAATCCCGTGGCCAGCAGGGCATTGACACTGACAAATAGCTTTCAGTAAATGATCGGTGAAAACCATGGCCCGGGGGTTTTGGCACTCGTCACTTCCGTCAAAAATATGCTTTCTTGGGTGACAGCCTATAAAAGCGTGTACTGGCATAACCCAAACGTGTCGCAGAAGCTGTTCTTGCAACAGACTTGCAGTAAACTATGCACGTACCTGTTGCAAACTCAGTCAGGCTAGGCTCATTTATAGACACCGGTAAGTAGATGCCTGATAGTAAAGGCCGCAACACTGCAGAAGCCCTGCAAAGAAGGATTGGAAATCTAGCATAAGATCAGTGATGCAGTTGCTTACTCCGATGCAAATGCTCGCAATGCACGTTCCAGGTCGCCGCTGCAAATCCAGTCGGACGTGTCCAAGGAACTTGGCGGCAGCTACCAAGCAAACGCGCATGAGGGTTGACAGATCTTTGAAGGGCGTGCTGAGCTTTTGCCTATGACTTAAAGGATGTTTACTTATTGCAGATTACAGAGCAGCGTCCTCTAAACAAGCGACACTCTGTTGCTGCAAGGGAGCACCCCGGTATTTCACTTTCAATCCATGCTTCGGGGCTTTGGTGCCGCCTGCTTCGTATACCGTTCCTCTTTCCCGGGTTTGTTTCGTGTCGTTTCACTTTCCTTCCTACTAAAACTTTTCACCGCAATCCAACAGAAACCGTTATACGGGCGTGAGACTTCACAAAACGGTGCAGGTGCAAGGGACTATGTGAGGAAGAGAAGAAAGCGCGCTTACTTGGAAAACGAGCAGTCGTATACACAGTTGCTGTTCCGTGAGCGGGCCGAAGATTCGCAGGAACAAGTTAACCAGATTCAGGTCGTTGCTGCCGGTTAGAAGACCGGTCTCAGGATCAAACCTGAAGAAGACACGTGGCGTTATGGGGACAAATGGACGGATCGGCTGGATTGGCGACATTGTGAAGAAGACGACCCTAAAGAGAGTCTAACATTGCTCCGGTTGAGTTTAAGAGGGACTCCGAGACATGCGCGAGTAACCACGTTGACGTTGTTCGTGCAGGTAGCGCGCACGGACTTACAGAGTGACGCAGAAAATTTTTAGAGGGGCTTTTAGCGCCGGAAACGCTGTGGACAGTGGAGCATATTGTGTTCATCAAAAGCTGTCTCTCCAAAAGCTGAAGGCTTGAACGCGAGTGTGTAGGGACAATTCCCAGCAGCGAACAATTGGACGGCTGACGATCGTGCACACGAAACCTATTGGGGACAGCTTCTCGCCTAGAACGATAAGCGCGGGCCCCTCGTTGTTTTCGACGAGGTGTTCGAAATGTCCCAGAAAGGCGGGGAGTGTAGCTTATCGTCGAACCGCTTCGCAACTGCTGACCCTGCATATAACGGGCTCGAGAAAAGAGGTTCATGACCTTGAATGACCAAAGGGGCTACCAACTTACTTGGGCAGTCTGTGCCGGGGGCAGGGAACAATCTTGAAGAGCTGCAGCGGAATACAAACCCGAATGAGCGGAATACTAACCGGAACCAAGTGACGGGACGTGGGTGCAAACGCCACAAAGCAGGAGACTCTGCTGAGATTAGAACATATTTCTCTCTGGCCGCGGCTCTTGATACCCGAAAGACAAGCGAAGCTCGCTGCAATCGAAGCAGATGTTTTTTGCTCGTTCTCGGAACCAAGCGTTCTCGCACATGTCTCGTTAATCCTTTCTCAATGGATGGATGTAGCATGGACGAGACAAGAGAAATTGACACAGGACTCTCTTAAACAGAAGAGTATACTGCGCTTACTTGTGGGCATGAGTAGAGGAAGTTGAGGATCTGGGGAATGAAGAACAAAAGCAGCATCTCACTGCAAGACGACACGTGGCAGGCACACAGTGAGCATAAGAAGGACACGTGTCATGCCGAGCGTCAACAACACGCGCCAGGGGAAGAGTAGGTGGGGAGAAACTTCGAAGATACATGCGGTCGAACGCGCAATGTCAGTCAAATGAATTCGGTCGTTGGTGAGCAAGACGGGCTCTTCTTGATCGCATATCGTTTTGCCGGTCACGAAGCAGACCGCAGAAAGGCGCCCGCTTAAAGGAGCTGTTCGGTCCTTTCCAATTGGACATCTCCAGACTTTCGAAAGCAGGGGCCTGGGCCCCTCCGCCGCAAATCTCGAAACTTCCAAACTCAGGCAACCGTACTATATCTGCTTGCATGTCCCAATCAAAGCCTCAATAAAGGGCCTGCCTGGCGATCAGGCCGGCTAAGGAAGCACAAAAAGTGGACGGTCGAAAGATTGAACGACAGTCATGACGCTTAAATTGAAACGTTCATGTTAACACCACCTCTAATAGCACAAATCTCTTCCGCATCTCCTTTTAACGCATATCTAGGCGACTTGAACATTGCCTGGTCAGCTGCCAGCGGCAACATTAAGGCTTCATCAGCAGACTCGAGGTTTGAAAGCCGCCACACCAAAGCGCGTTTCAGCTTATGAGCACGAAACGAGATGGTTCGTTTAACCCTACGATTTTAAAGGTTTCCGTGTAAACGGAAACTCCGGCTCACCTGAAGTGCCCCAGAATGCCCACAACGGCGAACGTCATGCCGGCGAAGTAGGTGAACGTGTCGCCCACAAACACGGTCGACGGATACCTGCATAAAAGCAAGTGGAGCCTTAGCAACCTGCAAATAGATACCTCGTTTCGGCAGGGAGTACATGTGGTCTCGAAGAGGATCAAACTGGCGATGCTGATTGCGGTAGAGTTTCCATCGACGTTCGTACCGATGTCGTACCTCGCAAGATTGACTGTCTATTCAGTCAACTCCTCCTCTTATTCTTGTCGATCGAAGTGGCGGCTGCGGACAAGTCTGCTTTCCAAGAAGGATCTTTCCAACTATTTCTGAAGAAGAACTCTTAACAGGTTCAGCATATACCCCCTGGAGGGCAATCAACAAGCGAACTTCCCACAGGCAGTGCGACTTGCCGATGGCTGTATCCGTCAACCAATCTAACCGCAGTAGCGTTCCGGCACAATACATGCAGCTCCGTTGGCACACGCTTGCACAATGACGGCCCTTTTGTGACTACAACGACGTCTCTTGGTGCACGGGTCTTGCTCACCATGTGCACGACACAGGCAGGGCTGCGACAGACACGTGTGTCGAAACGAGAGAAAGAAAGACTTTGAGAAGGAGACATGAAAAGCAAGATCGGAGACTATCTCAAGACGTATTCAGCAGTTGTATTGAGAGAACGCCTGGTGACCGCTGTGTCCAATACGCGTGTCAACACAAGAAAAAATTCGACTTCAAGAAGGGGGTCGGATGCCCAAACTGAAATGCTGCTCACCAGTGCTGTGTTAGATTTTGTGTGTCACCACGAGAAAAGAACGACTTTGGGAAGGGGATTCGTCGCCCGACCTCAAGTGCCTTTCACCATTCGTAGAGAAGCAGGCCCCCTGGTGATCGTCAAAAAAGGCTACATTCCATGCACACGGAAAAGGACAAAAAATGACACCGGGGAGACGGGCTCGAAAGCTGCAGGAACTAGAACGAAGCATACGAAGAAGAACGAAGCACGAAGGACGAAGTAAAAAGGGAGGAAGAAAAGAGCTCACCAGTTGTACGAGAGCACGCCCATGGTGACCGCCAAAAAGGGCTGCATGAGGTACAGGCAAAAGAGCTGCGCCTCGCGCTTCTCCGCCGCGAGCGGCCACCCGACGCCGATGCCGCCCAAGACGCTTATGTTGTACGTCAGGATCTGCAGACGACTCAAGCTCTTAGGTCCTTACGGGGAACGGGGTGGTTGCAATCCACTGAATGAGAGTGGGATATTTGAATGTTTGACCATTAATAGTTGAGTGCCCACTCGACTCCGATGCCCCTCAACACGCCTATTTCGTATGTAAGAATCTGTAAAGAGGATTGGTTGAAGGTCTTCAGGGGTTACGGCGACCGGGACGTTTTCAATCCGCTGAAAGAAGAGGGGGCCGTTATCAAAGGACCAGTCCGTTGACCGCCAACCCTTGGAGCCTCCATACGAAGCCAGTACCGCCCAGGATGCTTAAGTTGTATGTGGCCATCTGCACAAAGAATCGGTGGAAGCTCCAAAGAATTGCAATGCGCCTAGGTGAAGAGGACAGAGACGTTCAGGGACATCCCGGATCAGACAATCTGCCAGAAGGGAGGGAAGGCGAGGGCAACGGGAGAAGTGGGCACCCTGAGCAACGGGTTTGCGAAGCACGGTGAGAACTGAGGCACGAAGCCACCGAATCCGCGTGCAGACGACGTTCTTGTGTGAAAAACATGTCTGTCTAAATGACAGTAGAACGTCGCGAAGTCCGACCAGCTGGCTGCGTAAATGTGCCGCGTCGTGAGGGCTCGGCTCTCGAAGGTCCTCGAAAGGAAGCGCTTACGAAGGGTGCTTCGGGTATGTACGCTTCTGTTGACCAGATACTATCAGACGGAGTTCCACTCGAACGAGTGCTTTCAGAAACGTCAAACTTCTTTCGAAAGAGACTCTACATCGGCCCCGTCGTTCGAGTCAACCGCAGAGATTCCGCCCGAGAACCGAACTGTCGTGCCTTTCGGCCAGAAGCCGCAGAGGAAAAAGGACTCAAACCGTCTTCTTGAAAAGCGGCCTGTTAAACAGTCACCAATAGTGGACTAGAATCTAGTGGGAGAGGTTAAGAAACAAAGAGGGTGCGCCGGCTCACCGAGGCTGCGATGATGACGGTCTGGCCGGCCTCGAGGCCGTTGACGCCCGCGTGGATGTTGATGGAGTTGGTGCAGAAGACGGCCAGCAAACCCATGTACAACTTGTACAACCAGCCTGCACTCAGAAAGGGGTTAGGGAATTTAGAGTTTGCGCTTTAGGGTTTTAGAGTACACGTAACGTTCTCTAGCCAAGCGAAAATTGGAAGACTGGTTAACGAGGGATGTTGATTGAGTTATGGTGCAGAAGACGGTTTCGGAGGTTCTGTACAGCTTGTACACCCAGCCTGCACTCAGAAAAGAGTACATTCAGCGTACTATACCAGGATAACCGAAGAGAGTCGAAGGGAATTTTCATAGATAAGAGAAGAGTCTCACAGAGAGTGTTGTAAAAGCGATGGTGCCTGTGGCGTACTCAGTGCGGCTCCCACAAGGAGCCTGTATTCAGAGAGAGTACATGCACCGTAGTCAGAAGCAAATGATGTCATACAAGAAGGAACCTATCAATGAGTAGCTTCTGCTTGTCACCCAGCCTGCACTTGTGACTCAAGGTGTGCGAAGTCAGTCGCCAAGGACCCGTTCAAATAACGATCGACGCCGGTGAACTAATCCGAAATCGGAAAGCGACACGGACGGTGCTCGAAACAGGAGACCGAACAAAAGAGAAAGAAATGAGAGTGGACCGATCTATTCCTCGGCGCGAAAGAAAATTACCGGTTAGTTTATGCGGCTACTCCGTCGAGAATTCAAGGCGGCAATTTGTAAGAACGGGGCAGTTGATGGAAAGGTGCGTACATGCACGACTATTAAGGGGCCGCTAGCCAGGAACCGTGAAGCACTTGTCAGCTTATGCAGATTTTCTCTGTGCAGTCTGCTCCGTTTACCATTCCCTCATTCAAAGAAAGGGGACGCGAGCACAAATTCTGGAAGCACAGAACCTTCCGCACTTCTAATGGCCATGTACGGTGGAGCTTCCTGTGCAACAACAACGAACGGCTCTGCAACCGAAAGGAGCATATCGATCCATCCCACCAAGGAAAGCGACTACGAACTAAAGAAAGGATAGGAGCGCGAGGGGTCAGACGTACCAAGTTCGATGACGTAAGAGCTCAGGTATGGGGCCAGGTAGGGCCGCAGCGCCTCAGGAACGGGGACAGCGTAAGGGCCTGCGAAAGGAGAAGAGCAATTTCGGAGAAAATCGAACGTCTCTTGTCAAGCAATTCGTGACTGCGATGGGAGAGCTAATGAGATGTGAAAGAACTCCTCGCACCGGTGTTCACCGCATCTCTCAAGATATCCGGAGCACGTTTGTGGACCGTTTGATTGTCTATCAACGGTCCAGGATCGTGTAAAGGAAGTCAGGGAGCAGGCGCGCAGCACCTTGAAAACGAAGCATGATTAAGAGTATGTCTTACCTATTTCAAAATGGTCGCCCCCGGCATACGGCTTAAAGAGCCAACGCAATGGCTTGGGAACCACGATGCTTGTTCCTCCAGCATATGCCATCAGAAGAGGAAGCGCCGCCACGGTGGGAAGGAGAAGCTTGCTGCAATCGGAGGACACGTCTTTGTCAGCGTTCTGGATGAAACATCGATTGATGTTCGTTAACATCCAGACTACTTGTTTTTAAGACTCTGTTCGTTAATGTCACTCTCCGCACTCTGAAAACTCCGAAAAGCTTGCAAACAATCGTCAAACACCGGCTTGTGCGCTTGGACAGAAATCTTCCGCCTCTACGCCTCAAACCCCCAGAAGGCAGACTTTGAAACACGGTTAGAATTTGTTGTGAGATGTGAAGCGTTCTGCGAATGACTCACACTCTCCACGGGATGTCCAGGACGTCGTCGATAAACCCAAGGAAGATCATGAAGCAGATGGACGCCAGTGCGGCGTTATACTCCACGAGCCACTGTGTGGAAGAAACGGATGCAGAGTTATATGAAGGGGTAGTTTGATTCGAATGAGGCCCGAAGATGTCATCGGAATCTACTTTTGAGTCAAGAATGACGCATGATCAGAACAATTTCGGAGGATGTACGTGTGTGAACCATGCTCTCGTGAGAGAGACATTTCGACCTTGACTTTGACAGCCTAAGCAATATATTGACTGGGGCACACTTTGATTTCAGTTGGATGTACCCTTTGGTCAGCCGTTGTGGATAAAAATCATGTCTAAGTACTGAAGGGCACTTAGCTGGCAGTACCAGGACCTGATTCGGAAAAAGCGGTTGAGCTCCAAACGCAACACCTTTCTGGGTGAATGATGGAAAGGTGACGCTTTGGATTGTAGAATACCTTTTGATGCATTGCGAATCACGCCTAGTGAGGCAGTGGACTTGGCAACCCCAGAAGGAGAATTTTCGGACAAGGTTTTGACTCCTCAGAAATAGACAAGCCTCTGGTCAACATTAAGAGAAGGTTCTCACCGGAGAGTCTGCTGAGAAGTAGAAGTGCTGGAAGATGATGGTGCACACCAGAAAGACGATGCCAGCCACCAGCCCCTGGGACTCTGGACTACAACCAAGAGCAAGAGAGCCGTTCGCTTTGCAGAGAGTTGAGGGATTGAAAGTCAAGTCGTCTGCTGAGATTTTGCCGGGTCTGCAGCTCCAAGCTGGAGGTCCTGTGCTTGGTTTGCGCTTCTGTCTCATGCGGAACTCGTGGTGAGACCGCGACAACTCAGCGAGATAAGGAGGCGTCAGTACTTTGGAGTGAGATGAGCGATGTCAACGTTCATAAATAGGAGTTCCCAAAACTCTTTGCACCAATTGGTGCACATCTCAAGCTTCAGTTTAAGATCGTTCACCAGAAGACCTGAATCTCAAGGCAAAAGCAGCCATCGCAGATCACAAGCCCTTGAAACCGACTTTTTCGACATGTCTTTGGAAAAGTTCCAGGACCTCAGTCAGCCTGATGGATTAGATGTGTGGTATCAAGCAAGCAATCAACTCCAAACTAATCGAAGATGAGATTCTAATCTCCTCTTACGACAATTTCTAGCCAACACCCACGTTAAAAGATGATCACAGAAAAGGAGGAATCCACAGCATTCAGATGCTTCCACCAAGAGCTAGTCTGTTCTGTAGATGAGGCAGGTTTCATCACAAGGACTTTGCGTTCTGACTCACACTTTGATATCGCCACCCGGGGAGCCCCGCTTGTTGATGTCCATCCCAAACATCCCCTTGCGCAGCATATACGGGACTGCGACTGGAATCAGCCACACAGTCAGCAGAAAGCCAACTGAACTGAAGGCCAGATTGCCAAGGATGAACCTCTTGTCCGCAGCATCAATGTCCAGCGTAGAGAAGAGGTACACTGCTGGCAGGAAGGATGCCAGGAAGAGGATGAGAACCTTGTGCGACTTGGGGAGGCCCCCTTCTGCATAGTTCCTTGTTCTGGCTGGAGTCTCTTGCTGCTCGGATCCAGATACTGCCGGACCGCTAATAAACGACCTGGACTCTGGAGTCCTTCCCGGTTCCACCTTGCGATTGCGCAGCTGCCTGCCTGAGTCCGCCATGGGTTTTATTGAAGATCTTCCCTGACCGCAGGCTCAACACCACAGCTCCGTTTGTTGCTTAAAATTATGGCCGATTATAACCTGCGCGGCTGTGCTTTCCTCTTCATGAATTTGCGTGGGCCACCAAAGCCAAGGATCAAAGGCAAAGGCAAAGGCAAGGATCTGCAATAAAACTTGAAGACAAAGCGTGGGCCATTGGCCATTGCATGGCCATTGTCCGCTAGCGAAAGGGGGAATCTTTTAATTAGGGTTTTGCAGCTGGCGCGACGGATTCGGAACCCTCCGAGTAGCTTGCTGTGCGGGTCGGGCGGCCGCGCCGCCGCGGCCGGCCGCCTCTGACGCCCGAAAACCAAACAAAACTCAGACTCACTGAGTCGGACTGTGACAGCTAGTGTGATTGCCTAATTTGATCATGCACTTTGATTTGGTTAGGTAGCTAGACGTTCAAGACCCAAACAATTCCCATGTATGCCATGGAAGCCTGTGGCCCATGTGGCTACGGCGTTTGAAAAGAGAACATCATGACCATTTTACGATCAATCGTACACTGACCAACCATGTGCTGCTTGAAAATATAATATTTTAATATGAACCCGGCTCAATTCGAGCTTGAAGCTTGCCCGATTGTGCATGATGTATTGTATGGTTCAACGGTTTAATGACAAAGCAAGTACTGACGTTGTTAATCATAGCGTCATCCCATGCTGGCGCAGGCATGCAGCCGCCAGCTCATAAGTATGCGAGCACTCGCGACTAACAATATCACCGGTGAATCAAGGGGGTGGTTCTGCGACCACCACGCAGTCAGTACTTAGATGGCTGCATGCACGCGATTGACAAAGATGAACAGAGAATGCGCATTGGACGTCGACAGGACACACAAAACAAACCATGGATGACACAAAGAAACTTTACTTATAATCTTCAGCAGCAAAAGTCGGAGGGCCTTGAATACGGTTTTTGAGTTGTGGTGGCCGCACTGCTTCTGATTACAAGATTGATCCTGATGAATTGCCTAAGCGAACTCAGTCTCTTTCAATTCAGCAGTTTGTGCTCAACTTCCCAGGGTCTCAAGCAATCACCACCACCAAGGGCATCGGTTCTCGACCACCCATGCCAAACCTGATCAACTGTCAATGCCAGATTAAGCGTTGGAAGAGTCGCACTGTGAGCGTGACACACATGCAGCGGATCATACTACTAGTGACTGCTAAGTACTATTAGAGCCATTTGCCCGACCCAAAAGCTTTGGGGGTGGCTATGGCAATCGACTCCTTCTGGCCCCGACGCGTCCCTCTTGCGCCTCCTATACAAGCAGGCTTTTGTTTCCAATAGTAGCGAACAACTTGAGGCCCAAAATCGATGCCACGAACAGTTTCGGAGACAGCTGGAAACCTTGGAACCACCATAACCTAACGGACTTGATCTCTGTAAAGCACCCCGTTTGCAGTTGAGGGAATCAATTTTCAAGCGCCGATCGCTCTTCCATCATGCTGCTTTCTCCGCTTTCCTTATCATCCGACTCAGAACCGTCCGGCTGCTTAGCGCCCTCCGGCCGCCCCTCCAATTCTGACGTGCCCAGAGCACCGTCCCCCCCCTCCACGTCCAACAGGCTCAATTCGTGAAGCTCATTGAGCAGCCTTTCCTCCCCCTCGAACCCCCCCAGAACGACCGCCCGCGTTCCTCCTCCAACCACGCACGTGCTGTGGCCCCACGCATACTGGGGCAACAAACCGGGAGCGTTTAGCATCCGCCACGATGGCCGTCCCTCCTTCGGATCCAGAACATAAAGCTGGATCGGGGAGTGTTGCCCAGCCACGCTTCCCCCGAAGATCAACACCCGGCCTCCGGGAAGCGTTGCGGCCACGTGATCTAATCGCGGGGGCGGCGACGGGCCTGTCGCGGGCGCCCCTCCCGGCAGCATGCTGCCCGTCAGGTAGTTCCAGTTCGGCTCCTGGATCCCCACGTCGATCGTGAACACGTCGCTCGACCGCAACCGCAGCGGCCCCGACTGCGCCAGCCCCCCAAACATGAGCACCTTGCTCCCCTCTAGCACCGACAAACTGTGCCCCAGGCGCGAGGGCGGCTTGAAGCCGCCCACGATCTCCCGCCACACCGGTTTCTGCGCCGTCAGATCCAAGAGGAACGTGTCGCTCAGTAGCCGGCCCGTGTCCGTACACCCCCCGAAGACGACGAGGTACGTCCCGTCGACCGTGCACGAACTGTGCCACGAGCGCGGGAGAGGCGGCCCGGCGCCCGCGACCTCGCGCCACGCGGGGTGCTCCGCATCGAGGTCCAGGACGAAAACGTCGTTGAGCGGGCCGTCGGTGCCGCACCCCCCGAACACGACGAGCCAAGAGCCGTTCAGGCAGCAGAGCGTGTGTCCCCACCGGCCGGGGGGGGCTGCGCTGACGTCCACATGACGCCAGGCCGGGTGCTCCAAGCTCAGGTCCAGCACGAACGTGTCGTTCATCGGCTGCATGTTGACGCCCTCGCCACCAAAGAGGACGAGCTTGTTGCCAACCGCGCACTCGCTAAAGTTGCAGCGAGAGGGCTCCACGGAACCCCCGACGGTGAACTTGCGCCAGGCAGCGGCTTCGAGAGTGGTGAGCTCGCGGGCGATGCGGGCCCACCCGAGGGATGGGGTTTGCGAGTCGAGGGCAGCCTGGATGGCGGCCGCCGTGTTGTGGCCCCACGAGTTCCGGCAGACGCGCTTCCAGATGTAGTCGTCCTGACCCAGCCGCCGAAAGCGCCTGAGGGAAAAGACAAGAGCGTTTTGAGTCCAGACGATGGAGAGAATGTTTGTGCGCTCTGAACCTTGAGAGGCCGCTAAAGGAGGTTTTCAAAAAGGAACTTGTCAACTCCAGAAGGAACGTCCTATCTGGTGCACAGAACTAGAAAAAGCGTGCTTGAGCAAAGTTCTTGGTGTGCAGGCGGGAAGCAGGAAGCGGGAGACGAGAGCCGTCTCAAAGACTAGAAACGAATGTTCGAAATTCAAAACTGAATTTTATCTCAGCTCAGACCGTTATCGTCATCACGAACAGCCTCATTGTGATCTCCTCTATGCAATCCGCCGCAATCTGGTAGCCTTGACAGTGATATCGAGCACGTAGAACGAGCTCAACGCACGTCCAAAACTTGATCATCAACCGCAGTCGAAACATTCGAACTAATGAGGAACTTCTACAAAGATGCAGACGAATTTTGCGCAGTGCATGTTGGTCCAGGGCTGATCTCCAAAACAGGGTGGAAACCCGTTACATGCGAAACGCACTTGACGGCAGGCTTTCTTACAGACGTTCTCCTCATGAGCAACTAGATGGTCTGTACTATTATCGACTGTCGTTCAGTACGGTTGCTGAAAGCAAACGGAACGGCCGGACAAGCGAGGATTGCGAACGGAGAGCACAAGTGGAGAGACAGGCTCCGTGGGGAAATAGGCATCAGCAGACCACAGGGTGAGTGAAAGAAAGCTGAGCAAGGGGAGAACCACTAAAGAGCACAAGATAAGTTCAAAATCACAGATGAATAGTTTGTAGAAGTTCTTCGCCTTCCATTGTCAATAAGCAAGCACTGACCCAAACACCCACCCTCAGGAAGCTTCAAATCCTGCCTAATACCTTTTCTCCCATTCTCAAGCCCTTAAACATACTTTGAACCTTCGTATGCCGAATCTCACCTGCAGACCATTGAGCATATGGCAACGTCCTTCGGCGCGAGCCGCCCAAGTATTCTGCTGACCAGCACCTCGTCGCTCAGCGCCTCGAAGACAGCAGGGTTGTGCCGAGAGGCGCCCCCAAACGTCCCCGCAGCAAAAGATTCCTCAGATGGTTGCACTGGAGGGAGTTCAGAGTGTCGCACAGGGGGGACGTCCTTCCAGGGGCGCTCAGGGAGGGGACCGAGGTCCATTTTGATGGGGCGGAAGGACTGGATGCCAATGAAGTGGGTGACGATACCGTCCTCGCCGTGAATTGGCGTCATGAGGAGGTTGTTTATTAGGGGGGTGCCTGCGAGGACAAAAGGCTGGAGTCAACCACGAGGCTGGGGGTTCAGTTCAAATGGTTCTTCAGGTAACATGAGCCTGCTTCATCAAGCAGACTGCTTAATTGGGGTGTGCCTGAAGGAAAGACTGAATGGTCAGACTCAGAGGCTTCAAGAATGTTCAGACTTGTATGATTGAATACAACTCCGAAAAAGCAGATTGTCTGGCACTGATGCCAGACAAGAGACGTTAGCTTGATTACCAATCTGTTGCTGAGAACCACAACTTGGATACTGTTCGCGAATATGCTTGAAAAGGCGACAGCTGATTACAGACATAGAAAAAGCTTGTGAATAGACTTAAAAGCTTAGGCAATCTGTTTTTTGAGCTGTCGCCACTGTTGTATGGCTTTGAAAGTGCAGAATAGAAATTCATGTTGATCCATTGCTTGCATCTGGCCGCAGTTGCTTGTCAAAAGGAGACGCGTGAAAGGACAAAAGGACGACAGATAGGGCTTTCATTCCAACTTTAAACTGCATATGCTTTATGTGCAGGCTTATTGCAAGACCGTATCGGGTGTTGGGATAAGCAAGAAGGTACAAGATGGAGTCAAGAAAACCTTCCAAAATTGGTCCCTTGGGCAAAGCTTACCGTCCTTCTTGAAATTGAGAAGTTCGCCCTTGAATTCCTGGCCTGCTGCAATTGCTTCTCTCATTTTTCTAACAGTTTTGAGATCGACTGCGGGGTGCCGCTTGTCAGCAAACTCTCCCCGCATCTGAAGGAAGCGACTGCAAAAAGACGAGGTGGAATGTCAGACTCTGCCTCATATGCAAACTGAGGGGTTCACACAACACAGGTCAAATAGCATAGGAAGAAGAACTACTCTCCAACCTTCAAGAAGGCACTACATTGCAAGGCACAAACTTCGAATCCAAAGAGCAGGTAATCTGTCCAAAATCCATCTTTGCTACCTCAGACCAAACGGCTTCTGTCCAGAACAATCCAACAATTCAAGTGACACAGAGACATGCATAACTTTCTCTACATTGCAAGACTATGGCAATCGCTGCAGCCCCAGACTCTGCCATCTGTCCTGCTCGTGATTGATCACGACTAAAGTCCCATAGAGAGTTCTGCCCCTTCCAGGCAAAAAGTCCAAAAACGCTGTACACTGTGCATTGGGATGGTAATGGCAGAAGCTTAGCTAAGGCAGGACAAGTGCATGTGAAGCTGAGGTCACGAAGACTAAACTGATGCAAGGATGCTTAGAATCATCGCCTAGAATCTCAGGAGCAGATTCGTCCAGACTGTCCAGATTGACAGCATGCCGTACTTATCGCACAATCAAAGCAAGATTAGGATGTCAAGCCACAACAGTGGAGGCTGACTCAAGGAAAAGTAGGTCTGATAAGATGTTGCGACCTTGCAATGAAGCAGATAAGGGCCAAACCTTGCAGGAACAGAACTGCTCGAGCAATCCAGCAAGCTACCAAATCCGAGCAATACTAGTTGGCATGCATTCTGGAAAAAAACGACCAGCTTGCCTAATGGCATTGATAAGGGAATAAGATAGCGTTGTGAAATTCCGAGCAGACTTGTTTAAGGACAGGTAACACCAATTTTCAACTTCTAAAGAGAGCCGCTTTGCAAATCAAGGAGTGGCCTAAGCTTTGGAAGTTGGAAAATCTGAATCTCCCCAGCTAAGGGCAGGTTGTTGATAACACGACTTGCGCAAGCACATTCCTGACTAGCAGATTGACTCACAAGGATAAGCCCAGATTAGTCAACCATAAGGATGGGATGTACCATCCCAAGACCTTAACAAAGAGAAGGGCTTGGCTCCACAACTGTACACGATTAAGACGTCAAGTATAACTCAATAACCTGCATGTCTGCTCGTCAATTGCTGCCAACAGATGGACCCAGAAGAAAAGGAACTTGCACCCCGGATACTCGGTGTGGCATTTGGGTGCAAGCTGGGAACAAGCTACACGAACTATTCATGATTGTCTGCTACAGTCTCATCATGATGCACGTTGCACGTTGCCAGCTCAATAATAGTCAGTGTAACAAGAGAAGCAGAAACCACATGAACAACATGAAATGCCTGAAAAAGCTGACATAGCAATTTTGAACACGGAGGTAAGATTGTGGGGCTGTGAAATGTAAAGAGCTTCTGACTGGGGATGGGCAGAAGAAGGAAAGTAGGGGCAGAACAAAGAGTCAGAATGCACTCACCAGTTCCTCCCGAGGATGGACTCTGCATCGTACCCAGTGTAGTACTGGAAAATGGTATTTACATATGTGATTGGATGATCTTCAGCTAACGCATCTGTCACAATGAGCCCATGAGGGCTTGAATGCAGCAGCACCTCTATCCTACGCCTTGTCTTCTCGTCATCCCCACGCAGGAACAAGGGCACCCCATCATCATCCATCTCTTCATAAGCGTCCCGCCCAGGGTAACTCATTGACGGTCCTGCCGTCCCCAGACCCCTCTTAAAGCTTGCCGAACCCTCCAACCTACTTGACCCTTGCATGGTGCCTCGGGCACTAGAGTCCTTCTTGTCGCTGCAATCCTCCATTGGCCTTGTTTGACTGATCACTAACCTAGAATTCTGCTTCTGCTTCACGCCCTTCTAGTTTGCATCCTCTAACCTATTTCATACGGGGAGCATTTCCGCGCCCCAAAGAACCATGCCTTTGTTTTGGTCATGATTGCTAGCCAGATTTGAGCTTGCAGCCAAGCATTCTCACACCGGGATGTGTAAAGACAAGACAAGAACTGCCTCGAACATTCAATCTGTGAAGTCGAATATCTACAACAATACCTATGTAAAACGTCACGACCAGGTATCCACAGCGTGGTGCAATCCAGCAAGCCTCCCTGCACGACCTGCCCAACTTTCTCACGTCAATGAAAGATCTGAATCTTTGCACTTGCTACCGTGATTTCTCACGAGGCACGAGTCTCTGACGACTGAGACCATTGCCACGCTTTCTTCAGAAAAAGCAAGCCAGGGAAGAAGCCATGAAGCGGTTGCAACTTGCAAGAAGACTGTTCAGACTGCTGCACACAAGCAAGCCTCGACACCTTTTGCACTTTTCCAAAGATATTTTGTGGCTGTTTCACTTTTGGGTAACGGTGAACCGGAGGGGAAACCGGCCACAAAAACAGTACCGGCTCTTCGTACCGTCTTCCATATATAATGTATTTTGCCTGTTGATGCCACCCGGTGGAACTTCACCTGGGTCCTATGGCCAATGTCGTTCCCGGGGGTCTTGCCCTGGTCACTGAAAAAGTGGAAACTGATGGATATTTTCGAAAACCTGTCGCTTTTTCAGTTAAACTGACCGACATTGTTAAACGTATGGGTTTACCGCTCGGGTGCTCGTCTCCAGGCCTCATCATCAGCAAGGCAAACCTTCAGAAAAGCGCAACCGCCCGACCCCAGTGACACCGGTCAGCCCTTAACCTAGCTAAAAACTATCTTCTCAGCGACAACTAGATCCAGATATTTTGAGGAGGAGAACCCTCAGAGGACGCACAGGCGAAAGCAGGCTTCAGAAGGTCACTTTCCTCTGCCAAACCCTGCAAACTAAAATATCTGGTCCAGAAAAGATGCTTTTGCCCGCAGCAGAAGTGCTTTGCAACCAACCCAGCAGCAACTGCACCAAGCTTGGCCCTTCGTTGACCTGAAGATATCTTTTGTGGCGGCTCTGTTGCTACGCCTTCTGCCAGTTCTGGAGAAGCGGTGATCTTTTGTTGGTCAGTCATAGCTGCCCGGCAGTGCAACCTCTTTTTGACTTCCTGGTTACAGAAGCCATGAACGAGAAGGGCGCATGCTGAAATGCTCCCATGTCAAAAGTTAGATGACAAGAAAGTATCTGGGGCTAAACACCTCCTTTGTCACGCTGTTGAAGGGGTGAGTGCAGTCACTCAAAGATGGACGACAAGAGGTTTCACGATGTGACAACGTTCCACAGAAGCAGCGTCCACATTCTCCTTGCTGACAGGGACTTGCAGACAAGGAAAGAAGTGTTTGAGCTTTTACGCCGCTGCTCTTACAAAGGTGAGGGTTTGGGCGTCGCACACATTGACCTCATTTAGCTTCTGCGCTCTGTTGAGGGGGCCATGCTTTCGTCTTCTTTCCAGTCAAGGTTGTCAGGCACTGCACAATTTTGAAGTTGTGAAGGTGCTCGCCTAGGCCTTCACTAATGCCAGGAAGACTAGGAATGCAGGGCCAAGGACCTTTTCCATGGCCCTTCTCGGTGTTAAATTCGACTTCAGGGCCTTGCTAGATCAAAGGCAAAGACCATTGTATGCTGTAAAGGCTCAAGCTACTGGTACCCCCTTCTCACAAGGCAGAGTCAACTGCGATCATTCTTCAAAGCCTGTGGATAGAAGACGGGGGATGGCACCAGCAACCACCGGAGGAAGTAGTGCCCGGCCACATTTGACCATGCTTTTCTCGGGCCTCGCAGTGACTGCAGTTGAGAGCGCCAAGCATGTGCTTGAGGTTTTGCGAGCTGGAGGACCAGCAGTGGATGTGATTCTGTCAGAGGTGGAATTCCCTCATGGGAAGGGCCTAAAGCTCCTGAAGCACATCATGAGGGAAGAGAAGTTGAAGCAGATTCCTGTCGTCAGTAAGTCTGGGCTTCCTCCTGTTAACGACTCTCAAAGCTCGTCATTTGGTCTCTACTGGATATAACATGTGTCTTTGGTCTATGAGGCTTCCCGCTAGATTGGTAGTGAGAAAAGAGTTTGCTGCTTTCTCAGCAGACATAGCAGTGCGAGGTTTTTTTGCGCTGACATCCTTTCTTCTCTGAGACTTCATGTGAAACTCTGAAGTGTCCAGTGAATCAGAGGTCAGATTATTGGCCCCTGATGTCATTTGTTTCCTGTCTGCTAGTGGCCTCCAAACAACAGCAAGGTCTTGACTCACCTCATACATGTTGGAATTAAAGTTTGGTGTGAAGCTGTAAGTTAGGTGCGCAACTCAACCTCCACCTTCACTGGGAGGTCCGGAAACCTGAGAGGTGAAAGATTGTTCTCTCCCCTGTTTCAGCTTCTTGGTTGGGACATGCCAAGAAACTTGTTGAACCGGAGATGAGACAGATTGCTTACCCCTGTGTCTTCCTGCAGTGATGTCACAAAGGGACGAGATGGCTCTGGTGGTCAAGTCTCTGCGGCTGGGGGCCGCAGACTACCTCGTCAAGCCTCTGAGGACCAATGAGCTGCTCAACCTGTGGACTCACATGTGGCGTCGGAGGAGAATGGTAAGCCTCTTGGTGTAAGAATCTATTGCAGAGAGGGCGAGATCAGTTGTAAGCTGTCTACAACACTGCTTGCTCAATTGACAGGGGCTATAGTCGGGCGCTGTCCTGTACTGGAACAGTGTGATTAGGCAGGCTTGAAAAGTGTTTTAGGAAGTCCCTAAAAAGAGGGACTCAGGGAAACCACTCCACCAACAAGGCATGTTGCAAATGATTCTCATCCCCTCAGCTTACTGCTTCTAGGCCCAAGTCTATCTATGCGGGTTGCAGCTTGCTTGGAAGAAAAGATCGTGGCTCCTCCCCTTCAAAAACTCTTCTCTCATTTGGTTGCGCATTCTGCAATTCCCGTTAAGAATGGGTGCGCCTCAGTGGAATGTGGCCCCTGACCAATGATTGCGACCAAAAGCTTTCTCTCATTTGCTCGCCCCTTTCTGCAATTGCAGTTGGGAATGGCTGACCGTCTCAGTGGCCACCCCAACATGAACGGCCCCCCCCTGGATCTCGCCTTCTCCAACACCAGTGACTCCAACAGCGGGAGCGTTGACATGCTGTCCAACGAGACCGTTGGGGAACGACGGACGCGGCTCGAGGGGCAGGTCAACGAGGACAATGAACGAGACCGAGAGGATTCAAGAGTGAGTGCTTTTTGAGGGCTCCAGGATTGCACTACTTCATTCTATCTGCTTCCACCAGCAGTGCTGGCCATTCCTGAGTGCATGTTGCATTCCATGGGAGTGTGTGACACACTCCCATGGTTGACCAACGTTCTTGGGTTTCTTGCTGCAATAAATTTGGTGCTTTGTATATCGTGCGTCTTTCACCTTATTCGGCAACCTTGATCTGATTGGGTTACTGGTTGCATCAGAGGCTTCGAGTGTGGGTTTTTTCCTTCAGCTCACAGGCTCTGATCATTGGCTCTTCCTGTGTTCAGCCGCAGATGTCCCCAGTCCTGTCTCTGTCATTGAAGCCCTCATCTGAGGGAGTAGAAATCAAGGCTAAAAGTGGTGAGTATCTCCTAGACCTCTCTGAGCCTCTCAGGGCCCCGTTGATCTGGCCAATGAGTGATTTGGCTGAAACAGTCCACACAGGGAATGCATCATGCAACTTGTTCAAACAAGCCCTCAATCTTTGCTAATTGTCTTTTTGCCAGTCACGTCTCCTTCCCAAATCTGATATTTTAGCCTGGTTCAAGTTTCCCTGTGGGTAGCACACCTTTTCTGTGTAGTAGCCATAGTCATAGCCACATCGTTTGACCCCTTCGCCTGAGGCAGTTGCCTAATCTGGACCATCTTCAAAGTGTGATCCTCATCTCCCTCCCTCTTATCTGTGTCACATCAATTGTCTTTGCTGATCCGACTACTCCCTCCTCTCTTTTCCAGGCTATGAGATGCTACCCCTCTCCCGCAAACCTTCCTACGGCTCACCAGCAAAGTTCCGCACCCCTCCTGCCCCACCTCCCAATAACTCTCTGTTCGGCCACACCCCCAAACGGATGAGGGGAGGAGAGATCGAGAGCAGGGGGTTCAGTTCCTCTGCCCGAGAAGCCCCCGAGCAGACGAGCGGAGAGAGCCAGCCTCCCTTCCACCAACCCCCCCAGCTCCACAAGTTTGTGCCGTCGTCGGGTTGGCATCCGAACGGTGCCCAGCACGCCCCCCAGACGGGCAGCAGCAGCACCCCCCACAGGAGCGCAACCGCTGAGGGGGTCCCTGCCTGGGCAGCTCCCCGAGTCAGCCAGCAACCCCCGGCGCAAGAGCACTTTTCTCGGGGGGCGCTGGTGCACTCCCACGGTCAGGAAATGCAGCAGAGGGGCCACAACGTGGAGAGGAGGGACAGTCTGCCGACCCCCCCAGAATACGGAAGGACGCGGCACGTAGGGGCGAGCTCGAACGCCGGAAACTCTGCACCTCCTCCCGAGTACCACAGGTCAGCGTTCCAGGGGGATGCTCGGAGGGGGACAGAGGGGGGGGAGGGCTCCTGGCAGAATAGTCACCGCCCCCCCTACTTTCCAGAGCCACAGTTCGCGGGGATGGTTCCGAGCAACATGGGGGCGATGGCACAGCTTCCCCCCCACTTTTACATGCCTCCTCACGTTCAGGGGGGTGGCCGTGAGTCCAGCAAAGCAGATTACAGCTCGGGGGGGAGCGGAAGGGACCACAGCCCCCCCACAGTTACACCCCCCCGGGAAGAGCGGTCACAGAGTTTTGGCGAGGCCGCCTCGGGGATGTTCGGGATGCCCCCTCAGATGCAGAACGGGATGCCCCCCCAGATCCCCAACGGAATGGCCTCCAACGGAATCCCCAATGGAATGGCCCCCCAGCTGCCAAACGGAATGCAGCTGCCCTCCGATCTGCTGATGAACCCGCACCTCGCGATGTTCAACCTCCCCCCCGGGATGATGCCCCCGATGCCGCTCCCCCCAGGAATGCCCCCGGGCCTCGCGGCCGGCCTCATGGGCCAGATGCAGTTCTCCCCCTTCTTCCAGAACATGCTCAACCCGCACCTCATCCGCCCCCCCGTTCAGAGAGTCCCCACTCCGCCTCCCCCCCCAAACGCCCAGCCTCAGAGCAAGCCCCCCCAGGTTCGAAGCGCGAGGTTTAGCCCCCCTCCACCCACAACAGGGGGGCCAGTGATCGGTGTCTCAGTAGGGGGGCCGCCGGCCCCCATGTGGCCGTTGCTCCAGGCGGGGGTGGACCGGAAGATGGACCAGGCCGAGAGGCGCGAGGCGGCGCTGAGCAAGTTCCGGCAGAAGCGGAAGGACCGGTGCTTCGCGAAGAAGATCCGGTACGCGAGCCGGAAGAAGCTGGCCGAGGCGCGGCCGCGCATCAAGGGCCAGTTCGTGCGTCAAAAGGAGGGGGGTGCCCCCGGGGGGGGTGGCGACGAAGAAGAACTAGAGGAGGAGGAAGAAGAGGAGGAGGAGGACGTTGACGAGGAGGAGGAAGACGAGAACAAAGGCGCGCAGCTGCCGGACATCTCGGGCTCGCTGAACGGGAGTAACGACAGCCAGTCGGCGTTGAATATCGAGAGCCGGTAGCGGGGTGGCGGGCTCGCTGCTGTATGATTGGGGGAGTGTCCCTGAAGCGCAGGGGCGCTGCGGGTGTTGCTTCGGTCGTGATGCCACGCGGCCGACTTGTCAAGAAGTGGGGGGGTGAATCGAGGCTCGTCCCCGCGGCTAGTCTGACCTCCGTTGCATAGAAGAAGATTGTCGATAGCCGGAGCTTGACTGCAATAGCACAGAACCCTGACGTTCTGGAAGGTCACCGTCAAGGGTATGGAGAAGGGAAGGAGCTCGAAAGCATTCTTGCTGAGGTCTTAGTAAATGTAAGATAAGCAAGCACCTGGTTTTATTCTTACGAGCACATTTGCTTTGGTATTTGACTTTTTGTCGGCTGCCCTCTCTTGGCAATTTGCAAGGTTTGTGCACAATATAAGTCAGCTTTAGGAGCTGAATAGAATGAAAACCACTTTTACGATTTGAACAGTGACAGCTCTGCAACCGATTTTTGTCAGTGTCCTTGTATTTATCGTCTTTGGAGAAGACTTTGTCTACCTAATACAGACCCTTGCCGTTCATTATCCATTATTGCTCCGTTTCATAAATGTCTTGCCCTCATTGCACTTGTCGTTGCTGTCTGGTCACTTGATGGTCATGGCGCCTCGTGTATGTTACATGACCTGCAAGATTTTGGAATTGACAAAGTAACTGGCCTTTAAACTGGATAACCTGATTCTCATCAAATGTTTGCGGCTTGCATATATGCACGTTTGTCAAAGTCCGTTCGAGACGTACGTCACTGGTACATCAATTACGCGATGATCTGTGCGTGCGAAACGCCTCGAGCTTATATTGGTCATGCATGCTAGTTGTCGGATCTGGTCACGTACTAACAGCTGTACATATCTATAATTAATACATACATGATATCGACTTGGCCGGCGCCGTGACGGCATTTTTCTTTGAACATCAATATGAAGAAATTATAATCGAAGTTCGTGATCGGATGTCATGAATTCAAGTTTCTAGATCGATGCAGTATATACCGTACGTACGTGCACACATGCATGTGCTTACATGTAAAATCACCATGCATATGCCATGCGTGTCCATGTACCTTGCGTTGCATGTACTTGTGTCTTACTCAACTGCAATTGAAGGCGCGGCCAAATGTATTTCAGAACGCATTGCATGTGATGTGCGAGATTATCAAGTTTTATATGTTACTAGTGAAAGTATCTTTGGTCGCGCTGATTGGTCACCAGGGATAAGGTCCGTTGCATGGTCTATCTTCAATGCGAATCTTCATGCACGGCCGACCAACTTCAGTTTGAGACCTAGTGGCCTCATCAAGGAAGCGGGCTCAACCTTCATGCAACCTTTGCATCAACTGTGAAGGCTGCGCTCTTTAAAGGAGACCTTCTTCAAGGAGCTGTTAATTCAGAATCTCAAGCCAATGGATTTGCGCACCAAGACTGCATACAAGGGACGACAGGACAGGAACACAAGCACGCTTTTCCTACCGGCGATCCCTGACTATTACTTAAAGCAATTGTACAGCTGTGCAATGAAGTATGCTTCAACTCGAACCTCCAACTCCTGATACATCTGAGCGACCAGAGTCGTCAGTTGGGGCCTTCGTAACTCTCAACCTTTTCGTTTCGTGTATGAAAGGTATGGGTCTTGTACCGCAGTCAAGACGTCCGGTCGGTCCTGTTGCTTGAAAGTCAAGCACCGCCGAATGAAGTCCTGCAGAGTATGCAAAGAAACAGGTCAAGCGTTGCCGTTGAGGATCATAAGAACGTACTATCTCCACGAGAATGCATCGGACTCTCTGATCCTTGTTTTCGGCTGGGCAAGAGGAACACCACATAGCCTGCAAACCGCAAAGCACAGACTCTGGTCACGAGCTGCACTCAACGATTTGGGGACAATTCTCGAGCATATCGCCGAACTAAGCACAATCGAAGACTTGCATCTTCCTTGTAGAGATGACTGCTCTACAGACAAATCACAGATTGATGGCAGAAACACGGCTATAATTCCGCCAAGGCCCGTTCGTCGCCCTACCTTAGCCTCGCTTGACACCGCGGGCTTGGTCGGGAACTCCACAGGGGGCGCGCGCAGGATGGTGTCATTGCGCAGCATGGCCTCCTGCGATTGGTCGTCGCCGAACGGCCGTTTTCCGTACAGCATCTGGTACAAGATCACGCCCGCGGCCCACACGTCCACCTTGGAGGAGATCAGAGGGGGCTGCGTGCCGCGCTCGAAGCACTCGGGGGGAAGATACCTGGGGACAGGATTGTAAAGGTTTGTAAGTTTGTGGGTTTGTGAGTTCTTTTCCTAAAAACTTTTAAGACTCGGGAGAAAGCTCCCGGACGCTGAAAGCACTCCGCGGAGATGACATTAGCGGTGGCTGGTTGTCACACTCGAAAACGCTCGGAGGAGGATACCTGGGGACAGGGTTTCAGGAGTTGAAGGTTTCAGAAACTCAAGGGCCCATGTTCAAAAGACTGAGGAGAAAATATGAGGACCTGGGTTAATGGAAGGGGGGCTGGCGAACCTGGAAAGAAGGTCTTGGGACTGAGAAGAACGCTCATGATATTTTCCGTCGAGCGCTTTAAGGAGGATTCTGCGTACGTTCCTATTTGCATACGTTCTTTGGCTGGCTATAAGTTGCCTTAACGCTACACGAGATAGGGCGTCATACTTTGCAAGTCGGGCAAGCCAAGGTTCTAGGCGGAACCATGGGAGGTTGAAGCACTCTTATCAAAGTTGTACGACAGAAGGCACGTTGGCGGTGGTTATATTGGAGAATGCTTGTTCACTCATTACATCCCCTAAAGGAGCTCTTCGATCTTTCCACGTTCGTAATTAAATCCCAGCTTGCCCTTACTGATTCGCTCTAGCTTCAGAGAAGTCGCCGCAACAGAATCCGGAATAGACCTCCAGTAGTCACCGAACCTGACCGCGAGTCCTTCTCTTGACGCAGATTCCTCACCAGTACGTCCCCGCGCCCTGTGACGTCAGCTCCATCCCCTGGCTGGCCCCCTCATCCTCCATGATCTTGCTTAACCCAAAGTCAGTTATCTTAACCTCGCCCATGGCGTCAAACAGGATGTTCCCCGGCTTCAGGTCGTAGTGGATAACCCGGTGCTGTGGCTGGTTAAGATACGCTAACCCGGCGAAGATCTGGACTGCCAGGCAGCGCGCCTCGCGCTCGGGCAGGAACGGCGTCGCCTTGAGAACGGAGTCCAAGTCCTTGCCTGCGGAGGGAAAAATTGGGTTTATTATAAACCCTAAAACTTTGAAAAGATGGTCAGGTTACGTTTCTTCGGGAAGTATGTGGGTCAGCATTCAGCAGTCCGGTGGAATAGCAACCAAGGCTAGAGTACAGGTCGCTCTCAGCTCGGAGTCCAAGTTCTTGCCTGCGGAGGGAGTTGTGTTTCGCCATAGTTTGTGATCAGAAAGTCAGCAGACCACATGAGCTTTTGAAGTTTCAGAAGCCGCTAGTAAAAAAGCCTGCAACATGCTGCATCAGATACTTATCAGCAGGGTTGGCATCTTTTGAAAACATTTGCAGCAACATCAGAGGTCAGAATCTCCCAGCTTTCTCATCACAAAGGAGCTCACCGTCACAGTATTCGGGGACGGTGCAGAAGGTGTTGTTATCGACCTTAAGATTGGCATCACCCATCGGACAATCTCTAACGTGCGTCTCTAAGGTGTGTGTTTTTTTGTTTTTGTAGAGAAGATTTCAACACTTGCGAGCACGCTGACGGATTGAAGCATCCCACCACAGCAAATCAGAGAAACACAGGAACCTAAAACACTAGAGTTCTCAATGCACCACCGCAGTATGTAAGGACGGTGCAAAAGTTGTTGTGGTCTTAGGATCCGTAGTCCATGACTAAGACTCCCAGTACCTTGTCGCATGAGGGCATTCGGACACCTCACAATCACCCTGACACCTTAAGCACCCTGCAATAACCAATGAACAAACAATGAGCAGAACATTAAAAACACCCAAATCTTTGACGCACCGTCGCAGTACTCGAGGACGGTGCAGAAGGTGTTGTTGTCGATCTCGAAGATGCCGAGCAGTCGCACGATGCGCGCGTGGTCCAGCTTCTTGTGGATCTCGTACTCGCGGATCGCGTGCCGCACGTAGCTCTGCTTCTTCTCCTCGCTCCACGCAGGGTTCAGCTGGTGCAGCTTGCACGCCACGTGCCGGTACTCGATCAGGTCGAACGCCTGCAGGAGATAAGATGCAAAGGATTCTGAAATTGGCTCGTATAGATTTTCACGACTTCGGGTTTCGAAGCTCAAAATTACACTTTCCTTTCGAGGATCCAGATATTTGGAAAGTCTTTGACTCGGAAAGTCGGTTCAGCTGGTGCAGGCTTGCACGCAACGTGCAGGTACTCAACCAAAGCAAACGCCTAAGAGGAGTCGACAGTCAGACTTTTAGAATCTGTCCGTTCAAAAATCAAGACTTGGGGGCATTGGATTTCGCTTCAGGTGCACGCAACGTGCCAGTACTCGACAAGGTCAGACCCCTGGAAAGGATGGAGACACAGGGTTTGAAAGCATGCACATGTATATAAGCTAGGCCTTTGGAGCCCTGGATCGGCACTTTGAAATTTGGAGGCCAAGGATGTGCGGACTGGAGAGAACATAATCTTATAGGTCCACGGATGAGAGGACAACTGTGGACCTGCAAGGTCTTGTCCTCCGCAACCAGGCCCGTAAAACCGTTACCTCCAAAAACAAACCTTGAATCATCTAGTTGCTTGGTCGATCCCCTTCTTGTAGACCTCGCTGAATCCGCCCTTACTTAAACCCAAGAAAAAACGCGACACTCGCAAAAGGTTCCCGCTCTAGTGGCTGCATACCCACCTTGTAGACCTCGCTGATTCCGCCCTTACTCAAACCCAAGACTAAAGCAATCCCTGCAAGAGTTCCCCGCTCTAGTTGCCGAATGCCCACCTTGTAGACCTCGCTGAAGCCGCCCTTCCCGAGCAGGTTGAGCAGCGCGTAGCGCTTGTTCAGGATCTGGAAGTGGTTGAAGCGCGACGCGTCCTCGTCGCGGATCCGCTTCATCTCCCGGATGTGGCTGCTCTTCTCCGACTTGAACCGCTCCTGGTCCCGTAGAACACCGTCTTCGTCCTGGGGAGAAGTGTTCAGAATGAGTGCTTTGCATGTGGGGGAGCAAGTCTGGTCGGATTGAGGAGGGTAATGCGGTGAGAAAGCTTTTCGTGAAGCTGCAAAAGTAGAGATGTGGCTGCTCGTCTCCACATTGAACCGCTCCTAGTCGCGCAGTGAAACGTCTTCGTCCTGGCGGAAAATGGTTAAGATTTGATTCTATTTTGAGAAAGCCCGCATTTGAGGTGCAAATACTTCAGACTTCGCTGCTCTTCTCTACCTTGAAGCGCTCGGGCTGGTCTTGAAAAGAGACAAACCTGGTGGCTTTGCATTCGAGAGATTCAGTCTGAAGCTTCCTCGGCAGCTTCTTGTAATTCAGAAGAACGCCCAAACGCCCACAAAGACGAACATCAAAGAAGCTACGCCCCCACCGTTTTGAGCTCGAGCAGGCGCAGCTTCTAGATCGCTCACGCAGAACCGTCACACCAGTGAGCAGTTGAATTGGGAACAAACGTGAGAGGTAAACCGAAACAACGTCGCGCATCGCGCAAGCTACGCGCACGAGCACCCACGTTTTTGAGCGCGAGCACCCACCATTTCGAGCGCGAGTGGCCACCACTGTGAGCGAGAGCGTCCATCCGTTTTCGAGCGCAAGCGCTCGCGTTCGGAAGCACGAACACCCACCAGTTAAGCGCGAGCGCCCATCCGTTTCGAGCTCGAGCGCCCAACTCTCTGAGCGCGAGCACCCACCCATTCAAAGCGCGAGCGCCCTCCATTCCGAGCCCGAGCACCCACCTTTTTGAGCGCGAGCAGGCGCAGCTTGTAGATCTCCTCCGTGGCCAGCACCTCGTCCTCGGACGCGCTCGTGCTCGCGCCGTCCGCGTCCGGAGAGCCCTTCTCTGCAAAGAGAAAAAAGAGCTAGAGTTAGGAACACCGTAGACTATTCCAACCAAGATAGTAAGAGTCTGTTTACAGGCTTTACTGTCTTGTTGTGTCGAAAGTGTAAGCATGTTGCAAGAGCGACAAAGCTCCTGTGCTCACGCCGTCCGCGTCTGGAGAGCTCTTCTCTGTCAAGATGGAAAGAATTGGAATTAGGGCACCCCGTTTACTCCTTCAACCAGGATTCTTAGGTTTCCAGTTATAATCTGAAAACAAGCTCTACAGTCTGAGGTCTTTGTAGGGATGTCGTAAGCTCTGCTGCTCGCTGCGGACGTCCGGCGAACCCTTCCAAGCCGGGACGGAAATAATAGAGTGACGAGTCGACGCCTGTGACATTTGCGACAAAATTCTTGGAGAACCGGAAGCTGAACAGCTTGATAGAAGAGGGTTTGACAATTAGAGGGTTCACCGAGAATACGATCGGTGCTGGCGCCGTTCAGAAACTCGAAGCCCCACTCTGCGAGAATACTTCAACCAGCTTGAAGACTTGCCGAACTCACATCCGACTCCTTGAGCTTGAATTCCTTCAGCTTGATTGTGCAAGCTCATAAATCTCAGCAGATCTTAGATTGGACTCTAATGCAAGAATCGTGAGAGTACCTTTCTTCTTGAGCTGCTTCCTGCGCGCCTCAATCTGCGCGCGCTGCTCCACGATCGCCAGCTGGCGCGCGGACAGGTCCTTGAACACCTGCCCGTCCTGCCAGACCTCCGTAATCACAGTACCCGCCCTGCACATATCCATCTTTTTCAGAATCCGCCTCCCCTGAACGGCTTCGTCCAAAACGCAACAACATGTTCACCGGCTTCCGCCGCCGCGTCATGAGCCCCTTCCAGCCCGAGGTCGTCTCCTCGCTGACGTCACTCGCCCAGGAGTTCGCGCTCTTTGTCAAGTGAGCGCATCGAAACGCTGCATCTTCCTTAGTAGGAGTCGAGCCAACCGAAGCTCTGGGTTTCACCTCTTTGACCGCTGAGATGCTCACAGGATGATACAATCGAGTTGGATGACACCAACTAATGGAAATCTGATTCTTTTTTGATGGATCTGAGCGAAGTCGTACAACAGCCAGGGATTTGCATGGCAGTAGGTGATGAAGTCAGGTGATTTCCGATTTGGTTACGGAGCAACGAGTGGCTGACAGCGGACGCCTCAGGCCATCAGCGCACCAGCACTTTGTGGATCCGGTTTCCCGCTGGATACGCTGGCTGGGATTCAGGCGGCCGGAACAGAGTCAATGCGTTGAACGCTCTCAACAAGGGAAGCCGGCGCTCACTGCGAGAAAAGGACAATTCAACAAGAAGGAAACAAAGAAATGAAAGGGGACCGGCGCTCATAACCTGCAAGCTCCCGCCGAACTTGGCCGGTCTGCGATGTCTTTTGCTCCACGTCCGAAAACTTGGGCATTAACTCGGCGAAGGCTGAAGCTCTACTTGAGGAAGTTTGTTTATGACGGCAGGCGCGAACCAAGCTCCGAGCTCACCTGATCCATTTGACGTCCCCCAGTCGCACGGAGTCCTCTCGCAACCGTTGCCGTGCTTCCAAACGCTCCCCCCGGGCTGCGTCGATCAGCAGGTCCGACACCAGCTTGAGTCGCTGCGAGCAAAGAAACCTAAACTTTTGGAGCTGATTTAACTTCGTGCTCGGGAGAATGTGCACAATGCTGCCAGCTTTTGGCCGGGGACTGCGTCCAAAAGTTCCACTCGTTTGGATCACCATTGTAGCAATCCACTTTCCAGTGGTGATCGAAATGCTTCTCCTGTCGCGTGCAGTTCCAAGGATGTTTAAATGCATCTAGCTTTTGGCCGGCGAGTTGGCCTGGCCCAAGAATTTGGACCAATCATTGGCCCCTTAACGTCTCAATGGCATTCGGAACCAGTTTTCCGGTCAGCAAGCGGTAAAAAGCTCACGAAACCCACCTTCTTCTCCCTGTTTGCCTCCCGCTCTTTAAGTTCCCTCAACTCCTGCAGCAGGAAGCATGACGGAAGTGTGAAGTGCGTTGGTACGTCACAATGCAATGAAAGCCACGACTGAGCGGTCTTTACCAGCCCAAGCCCCAAAAGCACAACGCCTCTTCTGTCTTGGTGAGATCACCATGCTCAATGTGAGAGTGTACGACAGGTGTACTCCACAGCTGCTTCAAGAAAGGACGCTAGACGGGAACGGGGCGGTTGCCGTTAGCAAATCTTTCGAACAAGCAGACGAAAAGCATTCCACCGTCGTGGGACTCCACCTCGAACAAAGCTACGCTGTTCTGCGACTCTTTCACGTTTTGCGAGCGCTCTTCCACGCGCTTTGCCTCCTACCATCATGGACCCACTCCAATCGAGGCTTTCAAAAGGTTCAGCTCGTATCCCACATATTCAAATATTGTAATGCTACGTATAAGCCACCAATGATCGTACCATACATGCGGCTGCGCCTAGATTGTGCATGGGGCGGCAGCAACTTAAGTACGGCCGGGAACCTTCATTGAATGGTCCCACACAATCAGACCGCTGCCTCACCCCGCGCCTGGCCTAATTGCTAAGAAGGCTTTACTCAAAGAACGATCTCCTCACATTCTGCAGGCGGTTGTTTGCGCGCTCCGCCTCCTCGGCCCCCTCCCTTACTCGCGCCAGCTCCTCCTCCAAGCTCCGGCTTGAAGCGGCAGCCGTCGTCAGGTCTGCCTGCTTGTGGGACGAGAGATGAATGAGCGCAGACTCGGGCCAGGCCGGCTTTTGTAGATTTCGCCGGCTTCGCTCGGAGTATTCATTTGAAACGGTGATTGCTTCAAGAAGTAAACATCAGAACCCCACCCAGGGCTCTGCCACTCGGCATGCGCCAGCAAGGGGAGTGAACACATGTTTGCAGATCAGATAGAGTGCTCATACCAGGCGGAATCGATACCACTGACTAACCACACACCCAACGGAGCCAGTACGGGTGTAAGGAAAAGCGACTTCAGAAATGTCTTTTAGCGGAACCCCGACAGGATCCTAGTTGACCGAGTGCGATGCTGTGAACAACAAAGCCCCGCAGTTAAGCCCAAAACAAGTTGGATTAAGGAGCAAGCCAGCCTAATATTGAAAGGTGCACAAGCTACAAACTCGTGAAGTTGCTTACCTCGAGCTGGAAACACTTTTCCTTCAGCTTCGTCTCCATCTCATGGAACCGAACCTGCAGGACAGTGACCCGACGTTGTGGCAACGAATGAAGAAGCACAAACAAGCGCATTCAGGCGTCAAACATCCGACTGTAAACGAGTCGCCTATCCATCTGCATAAGATCATCGGGGAAAGCGTAGATGGCTTTACGACTTCCAGGATTTTGTTAGCGTTACTGAAGGTTTCATCAAGATCAGGCCTATGTATTCCTCTTAGTACAACCAGCCCGCTCCTTGCTTCCTGTCTCAATATTGCCATCGACTGAAAGCTAGCAGTCAGTGATGACGACGTCAGACTTGCGTCGAGCGCCAGCATGCATCCAATTTCATCAGCATCAAATCTCCGTTGATAGGAGGACTCTACTCGAAGACACAGCACTAGCTGAAAGTTACTGTCAGAATCATACCTCCGTTTGGACCTCCTGTTCGATTGACTGCCTCCGTCGAAGCTGTGGCACTTCACCATTCATGTCCTCAACCTGCAGGCAGGAAGCTTTCTATCAGGGGGTGTCATTCTGATCGATTCTAAAACCCCAACCAAGGATTGGACGCTTTTGTCATGTTTTTTTTGGCATCTCAGATCGCTTCTGACTTTGATAGTGTGATCCATTGAAAGGGGCGAAAGACATGCTATCACATCGGGATGTAGGGAAGGGCCTACGGACAGTAGAGTGTTTGGGAGGGCTGCCTTGTTAACACCATGTAGTGCAGTGGCTTTTGATAGCAAGCCACCAACTAATGTGTGAAAGGTCAGTATGCCAGCTTGCTCAGCAGCTGATACCCAAGCCCGGAACCCATCCACCGCTTCAGTGAGTATAGGCTCTCCTGTGCCGATTTGGATGAGGCCGTGAGGTTCAAGAGAATGGCATCATAACAGCCGCAAGAGGAACTAATAGAAAATCTCAACGTGTCACAAAGTGGGTAAGTTTCGTAAGGAGTCCGATCAAAACAGACTGCTCCCATCATGGCACCATATGACACTACGAGCATCAATGGTAGCTTTCAAGAGGTTACTGGTAGTGGAACAAGCTTTGTGTTTTGGTCAGCCTTACCGGAAGGAAGTAGTTGTTGATCGTGCCACTCCGCTTGTTGGCGCCCTTGTCCGTCCCCGACATGTTTCGGATGAGGGGCGAGGAGGCCCCCGGAACTTTGGGCCCCTTCTTAGCGCCGTTGCTGGCAGCGGACCTTCCCCTCTTGGTGCCTACCTTGACCTGAGCCTGAGGCTCCGATAGCCTCAGCTTGTGCTTGTGAGAGAACTGCAGAACGAACACCGTTTTATGCTGCGAGCAGGCAGAACAGTCTTTCCCTTGAATTTGATCATGACGGCCTGAGTGTGACTGGATCTGAAGGGTTCAAGCATTACTGGTGCGCACTATGACGCTTATTCTTGTCGCTGTAAATTGCCCTTTGTTGCATTGCAATGATGAGCGCTTCCGTTCTGCCCTACTATTGTCATCCCTAACAATTGTCCTAGTTTGGAATGTTTACCGAAGCCACCGGCAGAGGTTTCACAGCAATTGTTTCAGAGTGGTTGGTTGAACTTCAGGAAAGGCTTTGTCTTCTCATACCGCATTACTGCATGCTTTACCAGGAGTCCAGCGTTCTTTGCACGTAGTATTCGACTTACCTCGCTTGGTGTCTCTTCCGCATTGTCAAAGCTCTTCCGCTTTCGCGGGTTGGCCTCATGGATAGAGAACTGTTCGGCGGCCTGCAGCCAGTTCCACAGACAGGATGAGAGCCCACCCTCAGGATGCAATGCTTCACCATCCCTTTCCTGCCATGTACAAGCAGGACCGGCAACTACATTCTAAGCTTCCACGAATGTCTCAGGACTGTTGGCTTGGCTAACCATAAATTTCAACTGTGTGGGTGCCTAAGGACCCAAGCGGACAATAGTCCGCAAGCTCAGCAACACGTCGATCATGAATTAGTTGTACAGAACTGGGAGGGTCCAACAAATCCTGAACACAGCTGATCCAAATGAAACAAAGGAAAGTTCTATCACACGGGTGTCGTGCGTCAATTGCCACCACATTGGCATCTCTCAGTCTGCCCCAACAGAGCGCCTTTGTTCAGATCTTCCAGTATGCTTACATCCTCCTCGGAATCAGAATTGGTGGACGCTTCATCAACCCTGGCAGGTGACTGCTGCCCAGCCGCGCCTTCCCACATGGTGCTCAGATCTTTGACAGTGGGAGACCCCTTGCTGGTCTCAACAGGCGACGGGTGCCCCATCATGCGCGCCTCCAGCAGCCGCATCTTTGTGTTGGAATTGGAGTTGGAGGAGAGCTTCTCCAGCAGCTCAGACGTGTTGCTCTCCTCCGCCATGGCTGATGACGCCTATTCGCACTAAAGCCTTCACTAGAGCCTTCACTAGAACCTAGACCCGAGCCTTGCCTTAGAGCTTTCACTTGTGCCTTGCAGAGTAAGCTTTGGTGTTCACACGAGAACCTTTGCCCACTTTCTGTCCCTTCCAAGGACTTTGAACAAGAACAACCCTTTCTTGCAAGTGATGTTGCGCTTTGTTCTCAAAAATCCGGATTCACATTCTCCTGTGCCATAAAACACGTAATCTCATTACCACTTCTCTTCCGCCAATTATGAGTAATTGTACTCATTGAGGGCCCAAGTTTCCTTGCTTTGGGCTTGCAGCAGACCGTACGGTAGACAGCGACCTACTGAACCATACGTGCACACAGCCCGTTAAGCGTACTTAGTGTCTCCTCAGCTAAAGCTCCAACTTATGGGCATGTGCGAAGCACCACCTACTTGCTGAAATTCTTTGCACATGGTCTCAATACAATCATCGCATGGTGCGTGGCACAAGAGCTTTTAGTGTGACAAAAAAAGGGAGACCGTAGCTTACGAGGATAAGGTATCTTTGACGTCTCTTTTACTTGATGAAACGCACCAGCTTGTGCAACGGAACGGTGGCATAGGACGTTGGCAGGCGCATTGCAAAAGGGGAGCTGCGATTCTGGAGGTGCCTTTGCTGAAGGCTGTGATTCTGAAACATGAAGTGTCTGCTGTCACTGATTCGCAGCATGCACTAGGTATAAATTCAGCAAAGGCATGCAGAAGATGTTGCAATTGGTCATGCATGATGCAGTACCTACCGGTATAGGTATCTGGCGCGCGCTGCATGCGCGCATAATATTTTTTTCCCGCGCTAAGTATGCAGCGGGTGTTTAGGGTTTACGGAGCCTGAGCCTTGAGAGCGCGACCAAACCAGTTTTTACACCCCAACGTGCTGTTGACGTGGCATTCAGAACCGCTATCGACTCTAGTCTGCCACTGCTGGAATGAAGTTCTGCTTTATCGACGGTTCTAAGGCGTTGAGAGTCGGACTGAGACTCTGTGCCGAACCAGAACTCAGCTACTTCGCTGCATGCTGGGGTAGCATGACCACGTCAAGGTGCATACCTGCTGCTATTTTTTACCCGGTATGGTACGGTACCGTCCTCCAGAAGCAACACATCACTGATCAGCTTGTCATTTTGCAGCTCTGTCAGCATGTTGAGACTCGAGAGAAGGCCGGGAAGAAGGGCGTAGCGCTAGGAGCTTGGTAGAGAGGAAGCAATGTCGATCTAGGGCATTGGCGTTTCAGAGCAGTTGGGCGAAGGCTGAAAGCGCTGCAGCAGGACGGATTTTTGGAGCGTCGTGACAGGCGCCCTCATTTGTAGTCATCTGCTGGAAGGAGTCGCTAAGGAAGTCAGCCTTTTCGTTTAGAGGACCCCTTCATTCTGAACAGCATTGAAGTGGAGGAGGTCACAGGGAGTCAGCAGATGGTGTAGTGCTTGCTATGTAGGTATTTAGGGGTTTGAGAGATGGCCGTCCACTTCAAGTTCAAGAGTGCCCGGGAATTCGATAAACTGGACATCGAAGGACCATTCATCACTGTGTCCTCCTTGAAAGACAAGATAATTGAAGCAAAAAGTCTGGGAAAGGGTGCTGACTTCGATCTTGTTCTGACCAACAATCAAACCGGGGAAGGTGAGCGGTTGCTTGTGCTCCTCTTTGGTTGCTGATGGGGCCTTTGTTCTCACTCAGAAAGTTTTATCTGAGAAGCTTTCGGAGCGTTCTCTGTAATCATTTTGCGTCTCAGTTTCCACGTCTTCCCTCTATGTTTGCAGTTCTGTTATGGGTTTGCAAGTGCATGCGGTTACTTAAGTTCTTGAATCTGTGATGCGTCCTGACTCAACCAGGCTCATCCCAGTCGCCTTCTTGTGCAGAGTACATCGACGAAGGTTTTCTGGTTCCAAAGAATACGTCCATCATTGTTAAAAGGGTCCCTGCAACGCGGCCAAGGGCGACTTTGCAGGCTGTTCGGAAAACAGAGTAGGTTATATCCCTATCCAGATTGTTTGGACTCCGTCAGGCGCACTTTATTATATATGCAACTTGGACATATTGTAACACTTCCACGCCGACCATTACCAGCTCACTTGTCTCTCAGCATTATAATTCATGATATCGATGCCGTTCTTGGGGGAGTACCCCTGTGCAAGCCGCTCTCTGTTACAGATGCTCACATGTGCATCGGTTTGCTGCTTGCGATGGGTAGTGATTGGCTGATCAAACGGAAGGGATGAAGGAACAGCAAGAGCATGTTTTTGATCCAGTGCGTGCTGTTCTGCAGAACCGGAGGGACAAATGCGCCAGATTTTCAGAACACTGAAAACAAACCCGGTCAGGTGCTTCAGGTACAGTGCAGCATTCTTTTCTTTGCTCCCGTCTTCTTGGAGAAGGCTGAATCGCAGCAGGCTTTGCCGCAGCTTCGGCTTTTTCCTTATGCAGTGCTCTTTGTCAGCCGAAAAGCCTCACTGCTGAAAATTCTGGCATCTTGCAAGGTTGTCTGAATTGACCAATTTCTTTTCTTCTTTTTAGGGTTTCACTGCTGATCCCGACCTTTTGTTGGTTGAGCAGGTGGATGACTTTGGCGCCGACTTGGCTCCACAGGCAGGGGTCGCTCAAGCCAACGCTGATGAGGAGTCGAAGTTGCAAGCTGCGGTGATTGGAACAGCAACAGATTGGCAGCAGTAAGTCAAGCGCAGCCTTGGAGCTTTGGGGACTGCAGATTATGACAAGCTGTTTCTCAGAGGTTTCAACCAACACTCTTTCACAGGTCGTTCGTATGCATTTGCCTTCAAGATTTCATGATCACTTTTGTGAACTGCTTGCTCTAGCATAACATTCTTGCTGACTCTCGTTAAACTCTTGTTGCAGGCAAAATCAGCAAGTTCCTGGTAGAGGTGGACGTGGCTTTGGACGAGGCACCTTTGCTGGCAGAGGTGCTGGGGGACGAGGTGGATACAGTAAGTTATGGCAACTTTAACATTGGAAGCAGTTGCCCTTGTGGGTGTGCACTTGCCTGTTTGCATTGCCTGTTTGCTTTTCTGTCTATTAATCGCGCTGATTTTGGAGTCTCCTGCAACAAAGGCTGACGTAGAGCATCATTGCTTTGCGAGATCTATGTGATATTACAGCATGTTGTCTGCATATTAGATGGCTGTGCAGACATGGGAAACGCCCTTGACCCAAGGCTCCAATATCTCAATCAAGGCCTGATTGCGAACTGATTACTTTCTTTCGTTCTGCTTACAGACCCTACGTATTCTCGGGGGCCTCCCCCGCCCGGTTACGTCTGCCACAGATGCGGCATCAAGGGGCACTGGATTCAGGAGTGCCCTACGAATGGCGACCCCGACCTCGACAATAAGCGGAGGGCTCTGAAGCCTCCCGTAGGGATTCCCAAGAGCATGTTGGCGACCGCCGAGGAGGGTAGCTACCTGCTTCCGAGCGGGGAGTTTGCAAAGCTCCGTCCAGACGAGTGAGTGTACTTGACCCTCTTGCTCGTGTCGGGACCAGTTCGGCTGCTCTGGGATGCAAAAGATAGCAGGGAGGTTCGGAGTGCTATTCAAGGTCCGAACGAGTTTGGTAGCGTGCACTGGTTCTTAGAGATGCTATCTGGACCCTACTGAAACAGGGCGAGGAATGTCATTGTTTTGTTGACAACTGCTTGGGTGGTGAGGGTTAGTGGAGGAAGTTCTGTAGATCGCTGGTGATAAAATCCCCGTTCGCAGACTGGAGGATCGTCCTGCTCTTCTCTCAGAGATGCTCAGCAACTGATGACACGGTCGTTTCGCTTCCAGGTTCGAGTTTGCGAAGCATGCTGCGAGGCTGATGGCGAACCGGCCAACAGTCCGCGCAATTCCCCCCGAGTTCCAGTGTCCCCTCTGTGGCGGCTTGTTCAGGGATGCCGTCATAGTCCCTTGCTGCAGCGAGAGCTTTTGCGACCAATGTAAGCCCCTCCAAACATAGTGTCTGTGTTAGATAGTGTTTGCTCACACATGCACTTTGAAGGATGCTGTTCAGTTCGGCCGGATACGCCTAGCCAAGCTTATCAAGTTTCATTTGGACTCTGAATCGTAAACTGGCATGAAGGATCAATCTAACATAAAATACGAGGCTGCTTCAGACTACTCGCTGTTTGAGGTGCTCTTTTCGCTTAACCCTTTTGGTTCTTGATTTTTCTTGCACTTGATAAAGTTCTTCTTCTGTCTGATAATTCATGCATTTGGAAAAGCTCCATCCAGAGGTTTACATGGCATAGAAAGAAAGAAGCGGCCCTACAGCTTGTAATCTGCCTTGTTTTGCATAAGTACTTTGGTTAGACCAATCAGGCTGCCATTGGGGCAAGCACGAATCGCTCTTCCGCTCTTCTGATTCTTTAACATTTTTGCAGGCATCCGTGATGAGCTCGCGAAGAACGGAAAGTGCCCCAGCTGTGGATCGGACCAGATCACGAATGACGACCTCCTTGCCAATAAGAATCTCAGGAAGCAGATTGAGCGCTTCAAGAGCGAGCAGCAGGCCACAGCTACCACTAGCAGCGCAGACAAGCAAGCGGCAGGTGGGTCAAGTGTGACAGTCAGGGGTACCATTGCAACTTCGTTGTCCTTTTTCTTATTGAGAGCCTTGCAGAGGCATCGTGGCGCTTTGTCTGTTTGTTACATTCGTATGTTTCGGGGGCGAGATTGATAGGGAGCATCTGTGTCGATGTTTGTCTGTTTGTTGCATTCGTATTTTTCGGGGGGCGAGATTGATACGGAGTATCGGTGTCGGTGCTTCATCATAGTGCAGCTTTTGAAGCAAGGCTTTCGTTTGGGTTTCGCATCAAGGGACTGACCAGGTACTGACCAGAAATGACCATTCTGGTTCACAATGTTTTAAAGCTTCAGCTGGATACCTGTCTGGGTCATCCTTTCTTTGCGGGAGGAGTGCTAGGAGAGGACGGAGACTTCATCCGCGACTCTCTTGTGGAGATTTGACCACCCTGTTGTCAGTTGCAGGCGTGGACGTCAGCGTCGCCCAGAGTGCGCCCAAGTCGCCCAGCCCCCTGCCCCGTCTCCCCGAAGATCTGCAGACCCGCAACTCCAGTGGTGCTGAGAGCTCGGCCCATGTCATGGCCGCAGACTTGCAAGAGAAGGCCGGAGGACAGTCTAAAGCAGACGGTTCTGAGAGGGTACTTTCTGATAGGGCAGCTGGCGGGGTAGAAGTAGGATCAGAGGCAGTAAAGGCGCACGAGCGCGCTCGCTCTCCCCTGTCTGAATCTGAACTGCAAAGGGCCCGCTTTTCCGGAGGGCCACCCTTGCATAAGGAAATGGCAGATGCTATGGTCGCCAGGGCAGGCGATTGGTCAGGTATATATGCGTTGTCCATATTCCCGCGTTTTGTTTGCCGTGCACAGGTTGCATGTTTGCAGGGTGAGGTGTCTGGCCGGCTTTCTGAGCCACGGAAGCGTAATGAGAAGGGTGTACATCGCACCCCTGCACAGGGCCGTTGCACAGTATTTCGGTTCTACAGTAGCTAATAGATGCAACTATACATAGCTCCGAGCAACTGCGTATACGAGTTGTTTTTCCTAACTTTCTGGAATGTCTGCTGGTATCTAGCGGAGTGGTTTCTGATTATGGCTGCTGATCATTCTCTTCATATCGTACTATTCATCATTTGGCAGCACTCATGTTACGGTTGCAAGGGGGTGTTGAAGTTTGGAGTAACTATGATTGACCCGGTTGGAAGGAACAACGCAAATAAAGTTTGATGAAGTTTGGATAGTATTCTGCGAATCGGGGTTTGGTCTTTCGTTCTTGTGATGCTTATGCTTGTAATCTTTCCCAACACCGGAGGATTTTGCAGCTCCAGACTCGAGCAGCCTAGACACAGGGTAGCTCTACTTAGGACATAGGTTACGCTGAAGCGTTCAGCACTGCTAACAGATTGTGACGAGTGCTCTGGTTTGGAACAACTCTTTAGATATGACTGGCGGCGCAGGCGGTCTACCCTATGGAGGAGTGGCCATTAACAAGGCAAGGATGAAGGTCAGTGTTTTCCCTCCCACTCTGCAATGTCTGCTATATATAAAGTCGGGCTCGCTCTTTCCTTCCCATTGGACAAAATGTTACTATTCGTTCTCTTACAGCTCTTTCTTGAGATGAATGTGGTGGCACGTTCGTTACGCTGGCCTCCCTTTAGTCTAGGCACTGGCCTTCCCTTAGTCTAGGTCATTGGCCTTCCCTTACAATGCTTAGACGACCACCCAGAAAGTTGATTCATATGCACGTCTTGAGATGGCCTGTCGCGTGTTTGCTGAGTCATTACAGTACGGCTGCAAAAGCGAGCCGGCCTGCCCTCACGCTCCTTGCTTCAAGTCATATCGTTGTCTTAATGGCTGGAGCTGCCTTGCTGACGTCACCCTTCTCATCTGTCGCTTTGCTGACGTCACTACCTCGCTCGTTGCCTCAGGAGCTCCAGGAGCAGCACCGGTGCCTCATCTGCGGGTCGCCCGACCACCTGACGGCCGACTGTCCCGAGCACCCGACGCCGGACTTCCCACCCAGGGTCATGCCCGACCAGCCGCCGAGACCTTACGGAGGCCCCGATTTTGGTATGTGTTCTTGCAGTTCCATCTTTCGTTGACGACTTTGCTCTTCGAATGTATCTCTTGCATAATGGTTCCAATAAGCCGGCTCTCCATTTGGCTACAAAGAGAATCAAAGGGGGAGTTCCCCTTGAGGACACGATTACTTTTCTGCTCAAAAGATGCACGACCCAAGGTCCGGCCGTTCCCGTCTGCGTCTTCGTTTTGTTGCGCATAAGAAAGTTGGTTTCGGAGGCATCCCGACTCTCACAAAAATGTTTCACCCATTATTGTTTCTGGACCCTTTTGAAATGAGTGGTGCTTCTGCCGTTTCCGCGGGGATTCGGTCCAACTCCTTCGCCAAATCCATCAAAACCTCAAGCGTGTATTCCTCTGGCCCACTTGGCCTTCTTGTTGTATGGAAAACGACTCTGCCAAGTTCGACCCCTATTCTGGATCGCTTTCAAGGCTGCGTTACTCTCCCAATATCCAGCGTTTGCCCGTTGAAGCAGGTCATTGACCAGATACCTCACCCTTCGACCTGGCCTTTCCTTGGAAAATAATGAACGATGTTTCACTGGTCGGCAGTCTTAAATCTGCCGCTTATATTATCTCCTTATAACAGACTGTCCGGTAATTTCAGACCGTAAACCCCAGGGAATTACCAATTCTGCTGAGCACTCCATCCAACGGTATTGCCTAGTGACCAACTTCGCTTCTCTGCACGACTGATTGGTCGTTTCCATCTGTGACGTAAACAGGCCCCTACCCCGGCCCCGACTTCTACCCCCCTCCCCACAACGGGTTCTTCCCCGGGCCTCAGCCGTTCCCCCCCCGACCTTTCGGGGGACCGCCGGTCCGTGGACCTGACGGCTTTTTCTGCGATGGCCCGGTGAACCCCGCTTGGCGGCCACCCATTCACGGCAGGGGGATCCCTCCATACGGAGGACCTGAGCCGTTTTACCCTCCTGGACCTGGCATTGAGTGAGTACTTGTAGACAGCCGGTCCTGATTGCCTCTTTGGACAGCAATCTCTCTTTCTCGAGGTGCGAGAGCAACACGTCTGATCGCTTGAAAGGAATACAAATCTCTTGGTGTGAGACGGAGTGCGGTTGTATGCAAGGTTCGAGATGAACAGCCGTTAAAAGGAAACGGGAAAGAGTCGTTTGGTTAGTTTACATTTCGTCACTGACACTGCCGTTTTCTTGTGCAGCGCGTTCCCTCGACCCGGGATGCCCATTCTCAGCAGGGAGGACTTTGAGCGAAAGCGGGAGGAGGCGGCTCGGCTAATGCGGGAGTCAAAGAAGCGCGTTGAGAGGTGCGGTCATTTCCTCCTCGTATCTTCTTTAGTTGAGTGTCCAAATCTCGACACAGCCGGCATCCAGAAATCTTTACTGCTTTAGACCTCTGGCATGGATCGCCCTCTCAATGATACAGGAATTGTCGGTTGGAAAAGATCTTCGGTGTCAAGGCAACTTATCTGAAGGCTGAGGCATACACACTTGAAGGGCGGAAGTTGCCACAATTGAAACTGGACATATCGTACCTCTTCGTTGCCGGTTGCGACCTACTAATAACGTAGAAAAGGTCATGTTCATTCATTATCTGCAAGGGCGCATGCTAACCTACTTTTGCTGTCCGCGTTTTGCAGGGAGGACGATTCAGACTCCAGTGAGAAGTCGCACAAACATAAGAAGCGGGACAAAGACGAGAAGAAGGTGGGTCGTCGCTTACAACACCGATGGGGTTTCAGTCACACAGGAGCGGGGTACATAGTTCCACACAGAAAATGCTTGTGTACTCGGTATACTCGCTGCATTGAGATGGCTTTGTAATGCCGCATTTTGCATCTGGCTAAGAACGAGTTCTGCGCTTCGGCAATGGTTCCCAGGAAGATCAAAGACGTCTTCCCGGTTTCGACCTCGGTGCAACTTGCTGGCTCTTTCGTACTATGTTGGATCGCAATAAATTCCTGAGTGTTTATCTGAAACGCGGATGCTCCGTTTGCAGCATAAGAAGAGTCGCCGCGATGAGCGGCACAAGTCGCGAGAGCGCACCAGAGAAGCGGAAGATGTCGAAGACGGGGCGGAGGAAAAGTCTTCGCGACGCCGGGACAAGTATCGGGAACCAGAGCCGTCCAGTCGGTATGACGGAGGCGTTGCAAAAGAGCGGCCGAAGTCGAGTAAAGAGGAGCGGAGGAGAGAGAAGAGCTCTGTGCCCGAAGACAAAGGACGAACAGCAAAGTATAGACCTGACCCGACCAGACGTTACCCAGAAGATGATCATTGGACACCCGATGACGAACATGCGCATAGGTCGTCGAGATCCCGTCAAAATGAGTCGAAGCATATGGACGGTGCGCAGCTTCAGGATTCAACGAAGCATGGCGTGTTTTCGAGGCTGCGGTATGCGGATCCAGATGAAACGGAAAGGTCAACTCGCTCCAGAAAGACGCACAGGTCTAGGTCGCCTGGTGCGCACGACGAGAATAGTAGGCAAAGGAGAACTGACGGCCGCCATGTGTATGAGAGGGAATATTCTGCTAAGAGGAGGAAGGATGAGCCGGCCGCTGTAGAGGACGACGACAGATGGATTGCCTAACTCGAAGCTTGGTTCCACCGGCACCGCGGCTCCGGCCAGATGTTTCATTACATCTACTTGAAGAATTGTACGTTGCATGATCGTTCATCGGGTCGCGGTTCATAGTAGGGGCCCGAAGGTTGCGCACGGTGTCATGGTAGGGTTTGACTTTGAATCAGATACTGCGATAATCTTGTGAGGTCTTTATCAGACGTAAGCTCTAGACCCACAGCTCAGCATAGCTCGCTTTAATCAACCAGGCCTACGATTCAGTGTCATCACTGCTCATGAGTCTGCATCATGGGTGACCATGACATTTACCCCTCAGGGTGCTTTCTTCGAAGGCACCAGCACTCTTGGAAGAACTTGTAGCTCTCGTAGTTGGCTACCAGACCGCATGTCTGACAAATTGCAGGATAGTGGGGTTTTTTGGAGTTGTGTGTAGAATAGTAACTAGACGATATCAATGTGGATTAGAACGTTCAATACTGATATTTGAGCAACTCGAATGACCGGATTGATCAACTTCGTTTGCAATGATTACGACTTATTGCTTGGAAAATCCAGCAAATGAATACGTTGAAAAGCATATATATGTGGCACTCAAGCATGAGACCGTTCCAAGACATGCTATGAGATTGCATGCACGAGGAGCGTGATCCTCGCAGGATCTTTAGGGATATTCATATATGCAGAGGGTGGTTTATAGGCTATGGAGCCGTGGAAGCTTCCAGAAGGTCGCTTCAGACCATCAAGATGCAGGCTGGTGACGTAACAGAAACGTTACGGGGTGTCGCGACCTACTTCGACGGGAAGAAAGCCGAAGATCGAAGACGAAGATTTAGAATAACCATTAGAAATAGGTAGATTATTAGTGTGCTGCAGATAGCGTAGCAGTCTGTAATGTTTGTTTGAATAAAGTAGATAATGACGACAAATCGAGGGCTGCTTTTCGACAGAGATCTAGGAATTAGAAATTATCGAACTTATAGAGTGATTCCCGGACTATAAATTGGGCGGAATCCGAACTCGAAGCTCATAACTTGAATGAGAAGTTATCGGAAAGCTAATTCTGACTTAGCCAAAATCCCAGCGCCTCTTCAGCTGCGAGCGAATTTTTATATGGGTGTTAGCCCGTAGGTGTATTGTTGAGCGGGTGCCACCTCTTGATAATTCACAATAGCTAGTTCGCGGTCAAAATGCGATCCGAATCAAGCATGTGCGAAGCATGATGGCATATGTTGCAACCATGATCTGCAGGCAGCCACTTATCATCCCGTGCGTACGAGGACTCTGGCATGCATGTGCGAACATCCGAAAACTGCATCGAGAATCACATGATGTAGGTCGACCATGCATATATGCATGCGGCCCCTAGGCTCAATTAGGCTATAGTGCCCGACAATGTTGTGCCAGACCAGAGGAGTCCAACTTAACGAGGGCCTCAGTGGGTGCTCGACCACATTGCATTATCACGATGTAGACTGCAATGCATTGCATGATACGCGTGCGTGCATGTGATCGGTCGACCATGCCCTCTCATCAACTTAGTCTAGTAGAGAGTTGGCACCAGCACGGAGTCTCATTGATGTGTTCGCCAGCGTGGCGGGCGCGGGGGAGGCCTGACCATGGCCCGTCGCGCATTTCTTATAGTCTAGAATAGCATCATGAAGTAAGCTTTGGCTTGCACCTTGCTGGACCACTCTTTCACGAGATTCGGACTCTACGACAATTAGTATTATAGTATAGAGTCCAGGGAAGTCGTTTCATTTTAGCTCTACATGTGCGATTCAGCTTCGGGGATTCAACGCCAGACATGGTTCACATTCGGCCTCACGGGACGGCTCATGCCATCTCAAATGTTCAAAGTTAGATCCCGGGTACATTGAACATCCTGCACCGATGGACTCTGGCATTGAGGACCGTCTTCTAAGCCACTAAGCCATAAATGCAAGAATTCAAAAGCTTGGTTCCTTCTCCGATGGTTGCCGCAAAGAAGAGCTGAATGCTATGGCGTCCTCTATTCGCCTTTGAAAGCTCACGCACAGTCTCTATCACAATGGCGTCTCTGAGGTGTCGATACTAGCGGAGAAGAAAGTTCAAAGATAGTGGCTCCTGCAGAATTTCAAATAGAGTCCCTTCCAAGAGTACAAGAGTCGACTATTAGAGTCGGCATTTTGGTTCTGCTTTCAAGGGTAGGATCAAGCCAGGTGGTTCGCTCGATCAGTGGCTAGGCGCTGGCCAGAGGGGCCCCAGAGGGCGCAGACGCCAGCCAAAAAGTTGGCGCGCGCATTGAAATCGTAAGCGGGCGGAATCGTCGTATCCAACTGTCCACAAGGTCAAAACAAGTTGGCTAGGTCCCACTAGGACGACGTTCTTCAGAATTTTCCTCAATCTTTTGTGTCGTCTGATCGACCGGTGAAGTCGAAGGCCAAAGAATTGCATTTGAGCTGGTAAATAGGGCCACTTCGTCCCACTGATGGCACCTGAGGGCTCCACCGCCCGGGGGCGTTGACGGGGCGTTGACCCCTCGTTGACCCGGATGATAGTGGGTGCGACTGGTTGCCGATAGTCGGACCATATAGAGGTCTACAAATTTGGGTGGACGCCCCCGCGGTGGAGCCCATACGGCCTGCTCGCTACTGGAGGCTACATATTTTGGCTGGGCGTAGCTTGGGCGCCCTCTTTTGCTGGCTAGCTAGTCGCTGTCCCGTCGCTGTCCGCGTGCGGCGGCGCGCGCGCGGCCTCGGTCACGGTGGCGCCCCGGCCTCCGGCCAAGGGTTTGGAGGTGGGCGCAAGGGTTTTGGGCGCTGGACAATTATGCAGAAAAGAGGACGGCGATTATGTTGTCGGACTGCTCATTAAGTGCCAAGTGGCAGCTACCAATTTGCAAAAGGTTCGTAGCTAAGGTTGGCGCCTCACTGTTCACATGTGGTGAGCTTTGAGGAGCCCGATAAGAAACCATATAAGATCAAGAAATTGTATGCTTTTGAAGCTAGGCGGTCCTCTGTTTGACTGCAGCGCTTGCAGCTTTTCCTGTCTCCTACTGGCTACGTTGAAGCCACGCTAGCTGTAGTGGTTCAACGGGAGGCAATCTCGAAGGTCAGAAATGTATCCTTATTCTGGCATTGCAATCAGATGAAGAAGTAACCTTAGATCCTTTGAGCTTCTGAACATGAGAGGATAGGATGATTGGAATGAGGGGTTTGTCATGCCGAATGCAAGAACGATCAACGAGAAGTCGTGGTTTTGTCCTAATTTTTGGGTATGCATGTCAAGTGTGTGTCTGTTGCTTTAGATCCTATGTATTCATGGTTGACTTGCATAGAAGTGTGTTCAAAGAAGGCAGCTTAGCAGATCAAGCTTCTCTTCTTGCATTGCGACCAGCTCTTTATCAGCTTTTGCCTGGACACGAAGGGGCATCTTTGGGCTCACTAAGCACATTACAAATGAAAGTCTTACACAAACAGTCTGAATCTGCAGAAACCCTAAACTAGCTCCCGATTGTAACAAACAAGGCAGATCACAGGTGAAATGCTGATTGAGCTCTCCCAGTCTAGTCACGTCACAAAAATTCCTGTATCGGATATCGCCTCTAGTAAGGAGCCATTGAGAAGCTTGCAAAGGGTGGTACAAGCGACGCTGTGCAGTATGTCACTCACATCAGCCTTCTGGTTCTGCAGGCGCTGCAAAAAAACAATTTCAGCAAGGGTTCTTTTCATCGATTGGTGCTCAAAGACACCAAAGAGCGTCTACAACATTCAGCAAGAGCTGGAGACAATGCACAAGAAAGTAACAGAATTTACGGAAAGTGGCAGCGATTTGAGACGTTTTCAGTCAGCCACATTTGGGAAACAGTGGTGCTAATTTGACCCTGGGCGCTGAATCAAGTCATGCACTCGATCCCAATTGCCCTCTGCATTTTGTAGAGGCACTTCATTGTCCTTATTGAGCTAGCCAGGATGTCTGAGAAGCAGCGTCAGCAGAGTAGGGACGAAGCGGGAATCCAGCTGTCATCTCTTATCCCCTCAACCACGAGCCCCTCCAATGATGAGCCTCACACAACTCACCGAAAGCATGTGCGTGAGGAGAATGGGGACAACCACGCTGCGTCATCAAGAGGAGATAAATCTAATCTCGAAAGAAGCAATTCTCACCGGCACCGAAGTCAGCCAGCAGAGAATGGTTACAAGCATGTGAACGGGCACAAACACGCACCGGGGGAGGACCTAGAAGAGTTTGAGATTGTGGAGGAAGCGGTCGGGAGCCAGTCTGAAGAGAATGGAAGCCGAGCCAGGATATCGAATGTTACGCTGGCATTGGCGAGCATGGTGGCCAGTGGGGTGCAATTTGGGTGGGCGTTGCAATTGTCTTTGCTGACTCCGTATGTCCAGGTGAGGCGCTCTAAATGAGCAGCTGCTTTCGTGGCCACACGTTTTGATCAGCCGCTTTCGTCATCCGTGCAAACTAAGAAGGCTGCAGAAAACATATCTTGAGGCTTTCGCTCCATTCAGTGTCACAATCCTTGTGACGAGTCAACCCCGTCTTGCTTCAATCAATCTCACAAAGTAATCAAGACCGTCAGTGTCTAAATCAAATACTTTCCATGAAGACTTGTCAACGGTCACGCTTCTCAGTGCCGCTGCTCAGCCGCTAACCATGCTTCACCTTCTTCAACGACCAGATTTGGTCTCCTTTGCCCTGATGATCAAGCTATGAGCGTACTTCCGACTATCCATCCAGGAACTTGGCATTCCCCATGCCTGGGCTTCTTTCATCTGGCTGTGCGGGCCTATCTCAGGCCTGGTCGTGCAACCGTGCATTGGCATCTGGAGCGATAACTGCACACACAAGTGGGGTCGTCGGAGGCCATTTATCCTTGGGGGAGCGGTTCTGGTTGCCATAGCGGTGAGCAGCACACACTGTTTCTTTTGATATGGTGGTGTTATCTTCCTGTGAGAGAGCTTCAAGGACAAGGGGTGCAACATGAGATGGGATAAGTCGCCAACGTACATCAAGAGCCCAGAAGAAAGTTGGTGCCCTTTTCGCTGAATGATTGAGATTTGATTGCTCTGGTGGAATATGTTATCACTCAGCAATTCCGAAGACACATCACATGTTACATGAATTGAAAGATCCACTCAACGAACTACGAGGTGACTGGCTTCGGTTCAATGGATTGGGACCATGAACCATGGAGCTGGCGTCCGCTATCGCAAATCAACATGCTCTTCTGTCATCGCTGGCTGTAGGTGTTGGTGATTGGCTTCTCGGCAGACATGGGCTACCTGCTCGGGGACAAGCTGGTAGACGACGGGCGGCCTCGGTACGGCGCGTGTACAGTGTTCATCATTGGGTTCTGGATCTTGGACCTCGCCAATAATGCAGTTCAGGTGAGCCCAGTGCGGATCATGACCGAAACTTCCCCCGAATCTGGGAAGTGAGGGATTCACTCGGAAGCGGGGTCCCTCGAATTCGATTTGGTGTGATAAACCCATGCCCAAAAGTTGTTTCCGCACGTATCCACACTGGTGCAGCCTCGACAGCTTGTTCTGGACTACTTTCGAAGACGGGGTACGCTTTTGGCTCTTCTCATAACCAGCAAGTCTGCTAATGTTGCACCGCTATGGTTCCGATTACTGCGACTATAGTCACTATTTCGTTTCGGCTGACCCTTAACTCATCTGTTTGGGAAGAAGTCTGTACGTTCTGGCCTGCAAATCCATTTATCTCTAGAAGTCGCGAACGCATGAATAATACCTGGCATGAAACTTCTACCTGGCTAAGAAAGACAGAGAATCCCCAATCGGGGTATTCAAGCGCTTAGCACACGAACCCGCCCTAGCCCACAAGCTCACTCCAGGCTTAACAATATCGTTTCAATGAGTTGAGACCTTCTTCTTTTCAGGGCCCTGTCCGCGCGTTGGTCGCAGACCTGTCCTCTGCCGAGCAGCGGAACATTGGCAACGCCTTCTTTTCCATGTGGATGGCGATGGGAAACGTCCTGGGCTACTCGACAGGCGCAACCGGCCAATGGCATCTGTGAGCTCCCAATCTAGCTCTTCTTGCGCTCGAGTTTCTTCTAGGTTCTCCATATTCTTCTCCGGAACGAAAGTGACGCGGGTGATACTTGTCTTGCCTCTTGGCGCATTTTAGAGGCTGCTGTGACAGAGTGCAGGGCTAGAGTTCAATTTTGAAATTTCGACTCAGCTTTCCTTATGGATCTTCCGTCGTTCGTCTTTAGAGACGCTGTCGGTGTTGGTACCGATGTCGAAGAACAGACGGCCGTGTCATCCAATCGAGACATCTCGACACTACGTGCAACCCAAGTTTTCCAAGCGCGTTCTGAGCTGCCAAAAGGGTCGTTCCAGTGAAGCAGCAAATTATTTCCAACCACTTTCCTTCCAACGGCCAGGGCGTTAGCTGTTCAAACCCCCGCTTCTTTCGCCTGACGTCGTAAGCCTTTGTATTGCAGCTGGTTTCCTTTCCTGAACACCGCAGCCTGCGGAACGCCCTGCGCCAACCTCAAAGCTGCCTTCCTTATCGCCGTGGTGAGCTATGGAATCATCGTTTGTCGGTGGCAGAATGCATCGAACGGCTCAGCACGGACCGGAGGTCATGGTGTTACAAATCTGCCAGTCCCTTGCCGCAGTCAACTAAACGTCTTGGCGCTTCGATGACGAGAGAATCTGATGTCGGACAAAAGCAGCGAAAGTCCGTCTCTATGCAGCTCGCATTTCAACATCACCGTTTCTGAAACAAGCCCTTTTGTTCCTTGTCTTCTTCCACTTTGCAGACCAATCGTGATTTAGAACAACAGTTGTCCTCGTCTGCAGTTTTTCCTGGCGTTTTGTACATTAGTAACCCTACTGACCGCCCAAGAGAAGCAGTTCATCCCCTCGGTGGACAAGCCCGAGGGCGTGTCGCTCCTCGAGCTCCCGCGCAAGCCCTCCCGCGACCTTAGTCACAGCCCGGTTCGCTCCCCCCGGCACCGAAAACCCGCTCAGTACACAATTGTTGACGACGACACTCTCGAAGATTCAGATACGGATAGGGAACAAGCTCGCGACAGTCGCGCAAACGGGGGGATGGATTTGGGGGTGCGTTCAGCGGGGACGCATGGGAGCGGGAAAAACGGATTGCGGGCGGTCGTGGACGATTTGCAGGCGGGGCTGCGAGAGCTGCCGACGTCGATGCGGAGTGTCATGGTTGTCATGGCGCTGACCTGGGTGAGCACCTTGACACCAGAAATTTCATGGTGTGGCGCATGGCAATGCTTGTTTGGTGCTGCTCTCATCAAGGCATCCCAAAGCGACGCAGCGGTTGCAACCGGAGGGGAAATGTATTTCGTAGACCATCCTGATCACATCCTGACCCATTTTAGCCCATTCCCTTCCGGGTAAGATGTTCGGCCAATTTTCAGACCTCCACATCTGAACGCTCCCATTCCTGCGATTGAAACATAAGAACCAAAGCTACACAGTGCATTCCATCCTGCGAAAGCATCGGCATAGTCTGGGATTCGGCGAGGCTTACGATTTGTAAAAGTGATGTATTTTGAGACGCCTAAGAGATGGGTTGTATATAGCCCTATGGATCAAGCCAAAGCAAACTTATTGAGTATTACATTCTTTTTTGTCTTGTTCTTTTTTCTATACCCATCTCCTCTTTTCTTAATAACCCATCAAGCGGGCTCTGTCATTGCAATTGTATACACCTCCTGTACTACACTGCGCCAGGTTGATTTAAAAAAGATTATTGCGTACTCGTCTGTGGCTCGAACGAACGACTGGCCTCCTCTTTGTTTCGCTCCCGGATTTAAAACTGCTCCTTGACGTCGGCCTCCAATGTTGCCGAATCCTCCGCGTTTTACAAGTGTCTGCTGTCCAACATGCACTCCCTTTTGTGAGCACCTTCAAGCAATTGTTCACTACCCTCTCTTTCCGCCAATTAGCCTGGTTGCCGTTTCTACTGTTGGACACGAACTCGAACAATATTGTATTTCCGCATGCTACTCGCTTTTGAGTACGCTTAACCCTTGACTCTCATTTCCTCTCTTCCCTTCAGTTGGCCTGGTTCCCGTTTCTGCTATTCGACACGGACTGGATGGGCCGCGAAGTGTACCAAGGGTCGCCCCAGGGCAACAAGGCGCTGGCCAACCTATACCAGCTGGGAGTGCGGGAAGGCGCGCTCGGCCTGCTACTGCAGTCGGTGAGCAGAAATGCCACCCAGGTCGTTTCCGGGCTATCGTTGCTCTCTCCCAGTCTCCAGGGGACAACTTCCGCTCCTCCCTGTTCCCGATACGATCTTCAGTCGAGACGCCTCGAGACAAAGCAAAACATCGTTCATTCAAACAAAGCTCCATCCAAAGTTATCTCTCTGCGCTTCCTAGATCGTGTCTGGGCTGTCGTTCCTGTTCATCGCCCTCTATTTTTAAGGACTGTTTCCGCTGCGGTATTCTCCAAATCTGCTCCTCACTTCTGGACGCCTCCAGACAAAGCAATCAAGAGACTCACAAACAGAACTCTGTCAATGTCATCTGCCTCCGCTCCTCAGGTTGTGTCCGGGTTAGCGTCGCTGTTCATCGCCCTTTGTTTTCAAGAGACCATTTCGCTGCCGTGCTCTTCAGATTTGCTCCTCACTTCTGGCCGCTCAGACTCGAAGCAAGAACAAACTTACAAGTAATGATTCTCCATCCAACTTCATCCTTCAATTTCCAGGTCGTGTCCGGGTTAGCGTCCCTGTTCATCGACCCGCTGTGCCGGTGGCTCGGCAAAGTGCAGGTGTTGATGGGCGAACGCGCCATCACCCATGAAGTCACTCTGACTGACGTCCGAATCCTGACAGAACATGTTATGCGCTTCCGCAGGTCGTGTGTGGGCTGTCCTCCGTAATCATCGACTCCGAGTCTCCAAAGGGACTACTTCCGCTCCTCCCTTCATCAGGTACAACCTCCAGTTCGGAAGCCGAGAGAAAGCAACCAACAGACACAAAAACAATTGTTTCAATCAACTTTCTGTCCGGTCCGCTCCTCAGGTTGTGTCCGGGTTAGCGTCCCTGTTCATCGACCCGCTGTGCCGGTGGCTCGGCTCCAGCCGGGTGTGGGCGCTGGGCAACGTCCTGCTCTTCTTCTTCATGGCCGCCACGGCAGTCGTCACGCGCGCGGCAACGACACTGATCCCCGTTTCGGGGGGGGAGGGGTATGAGCATCCGTCCTGGGTGCGGGGGGCGGCCGTGACGATCTTCGCGTGCCTGGGGGCCCCCTTGGCGGTGAGTTTACCCCCCACTTGGGGGACTTTTCATCCAAACTCTGACTCTTAAGCTCACGGTCTGCACAGAGATGGATACCTGAAGGCAGAACGCCATTCCGTTCTGACGATCTGGGGCGCGAATGTGCAGAAGCGTGTGGGTGTCACAGCCCCTTGCATATCTGCTCGTTGAAAGCGTGTGGGACCATTTCTGACGTTTCGTTTGTTGAAAGCTTTTGAACCCTCCGTCGAAGCATTGCGTTTTCAGTAAGGCAAGCTTACTCTCGAAATCGAAACACAGTTGCGTGCCGTGTTCAGTCGGCGTTTTCGCAACAGCGGTTTTGACGAAGAGCATAGAAAACATGCCCAGATGCTTCCATAGGCTATGACCTGGCATTGCAAACTTGCTTCTCCTTCCTCCTTTTTTACTAGGAGAAAGTGCAGAGTCTGAGCAACCCGTTTTTGATGAAACATGTATAGTGGAGCGTCGTTTATGCATCCTTCCCGCTGGACAGTCGCGATTGGCCTGCGTAATTCTCTAACCTTGATCCAAAACCCGAGAACTTTCGCTGCGCTGGAAGAGAATGTCGTAAAATCAAGCGTAACTTGGACAGCGGAACTGAAGGTAACGATATCGCTGAGTCTTGAAGAGCAATGCTGTAAGCTAGCAATCCTCACTTCTGGATGCCAACTCTGATTTCCTTCCATTCCCTGGGCAATGGGCGAGGATGTTAGTCGTCTGAGTTCAAGGACTCATGGATATGATCCGGCTTGCTGACGCCAAAGAGATGAACCTATCCTCATAAAAGGCCTCCTTATCAGGCTCTGATTATCACGCAACTTTCTACAACCATGGTGCGCTGTCTTGCAAATCGCTTGCTTGGACTCCCAGACAGCGTGCTTGAGCAGATCTTGAAGCCTCTGGTGGCCTGCTCTTCGCATTGTCGCTACCTTCGACGTCCCTTCGAAACTCTTTCCGCAGGGAATCCGATGCAATTTATGTTGTGAGCCCTTTTTGAGATTCGACTAAAGTCAGACGACGCTCGTTTCGTCCCCCGTTCCGCAGATGACAAATAGTACAGCATCGCAAAAAACATATTTTGTATGGATCTGCAAAGTAGTTTCTCGTCTGAATCGAGCTCTTTCGATGAGCCAGTACTGGGTTTGAAGGACTGCACCTGTCGACAGCAACGCCTTGGCGTAGCCTGGAAACGCGTCGCAACTGTTGGTTGACTGTCTGATATTGAAAGTATCCTCACGCTATTGTCCAATCTTCTTTTTATCATTCACACGTGTATCGAAGTTCACAGAACCGGTCAAGCGGCAAAGCTGCTTCGTTGCGTCCTGGTGCTGCGGGCTGCAATGCCGGTCCGCCAATCATCGGACACTTTGATGTCAGCCACGGCGGTTGGCGTTCGGTTGGTTCTGGGTGTGCAAATCAGACCACCGGTTGGCGTTCGGTTGGTTCTGGGTGTGCAAATCAGACCACGGGTTGTAAGTGAATGCAAGCATCCGTTTGCGTGACAGCTTCCTTATCCTGCCTGCCTTTTGCTCCGAGTCTTTGTAAACCTGGGCCCCGGCTCAAGGTTACGACACCCGCTTGCTTGCATTCGTGACGGCCGGGGGATCACATGTCCATGGCTTGGGATTTCTTTTGACATATGTTTCCTAACACTGTGTTGTGTTTACCTGCTAAGGCGTTCCTTTTTGCAGACAACCTCTAAGAAAGCGCAAGCAAGTTTATGGCAATTTGTTGATGTGCGAAGGTCATAGCGAGAGATATCGAGAAGTGTCCGCTTTCGGCACCTGTTGTGAGGAGGCAGTGACGACTCAAGCTGGGATTCGCACTTGGCCCAACAGTATACAGGAGCGAGACGCGATGCGCCATTCAGCAAATGGACCTTTGAGCAAGTCAAACCTATTCTGACACTCCGCTTCTGTGTCAAACTTGGATTTCTCGCCGCTGATTATACAAGGCTGATCCATTACTTGTTGATTGCTTGTTGAAGCAAAAGCTTTCAGAAGCGACAGAACCCAAATGACCTTAGCAAGCCTTCGGCGACAGCATTTGATAAAGCACTTTTTTATACGAATGCGAGTTCTTGGAGCGAAGTCCAAAAGAGTCACTGCTTTCTGAGGAGCACACTGATGGGGAGGGATGGGGAGGCTGTGAGGAGTACTAGCTGGGATCGCATTCGTATGTCCTAGTTACTGTAGCACTGCCCGATGCCTCAACTTTTGCACCTTCTGTGAACATTTCTGTCTTGATTAGCAGTGTGACCGACTTTCAACGCGCTTACTGCGTCTGCTTTACTTTGCTACTCTGACGTACATATGTCGTCAACGCAGAAACCAGTAAGCTGCTGCTGAGAACTGCGGACATTGATCAAATCGTGCATGGATTTGAACTTCGGGGATGACAGCGCTTGCGTGCGCTTCTTCCAGTATGTCGCCGTTGAATCCGCATCCGTCGGCCCTTATTTACACGTTAGCTTTCTCGTGACGTCTCTCTGGAGACGCATCATTGGAAGGTTGTCTGCATTGGATCCAGTCCGACCTGGTTTGTTTGTCGTTCAGGCAATCAACAAAAAACCGGAGGCCTCGGAATGCGGCATAGAAGCAGGCCGCTTTTGGCGTCTTTCTTGTGAAGGCAGTGACGAGTTGACCTGGGCATTGCACTTAGCCCATCGGTTCACCGGGGCAAGTCGCGATGCCTCATTGAGCGTATTTATCTGGTGCAAGTCAAACCTACTCTTGACACTCCGCTCCTACGCCAAATTTGAAGTTTTTGCCGCTGATTTGCTGGCTCCTTCCACTACTTGACCTGAGAGAATGCTTTCCAGCAGAGGCAGGATCTGAATGACCTAGCACGCCTGTGCGGCAGCATTCATTCCAGCGGTTTCGCATCCGGATCGAATCCCTTGGGCGAAGTTTACTAGCTCTCTTTGCTTTCTGAGGAGCACACAAATTGAAAAGGCTGTGAGGACTGCTGGCTGGGTTCAGAATCGTGCCCAGTTTTCGCGGCAGTTGCCGATGCCTCAACTTTTGCACTTTTTGTGAACGTTCCTCCCACGAATATCAATCGCGAACCACTTTGAATGCGCCTACTGCGTTTGCTATGTGTTCTGCTATTCCGACTTTCACTTGTCACCGACGCAGGGGACCTGTAAGGTCAGAGAACCGCGGACCGTGTCTTCGTCGCACAGGGATTCGAAGACTGATTTAGATGGTGAAAGCGCTCGCATACGCGCCTTGGTTTTCTGTCGCTGTTTTTGGTTTGCATTGTTTGCCTGCCTTTCATCATACGGACAGCCCTTTTCAGAGTTTTTTTGAGCCGGAATGGTGGGATCATTGGCAAGCAGGTAACCCGACCTCCTTTGAGCTGTCATCCCACCGGACCGAGGCCAGAAAGACCCCTTGAGAGGTTTCAGTCACATAGCGGACGCCATGCTTACTTTCGCCTTCAAAGGGCGTCTGCAGACGGCCAATTCAGCCGTCAGTGTCCTACTGAAACGAGTGTGTCGCCTGGGCCTAGCATCGAAACGGAATCGCATGCACCATTTGAGCGCGTGCGTCGCCATTGGGGCATGGTATCCAGATAGCTTTCTGTTTGAAGGCCCTTCAATGATGTCGCCATGACGAACAAAGATCTGGGTTTTACAAGCCGATGCCCAGCCGCATCGATGAGCTCATCCAGCTGAGGCGATAGCGTATAAAAGTTTCGTTTTGATCTGTTATTTGTGACACCCTCTGTCTCCTCTTATATGTGAGGTGTAGTGCCTCAGAAACTTTCTCACGTCTCATACGGCACTGCGTGCTTTCTGCAGGTGACGTTCAGCGTGCCGTTTTCCCTAACGGCGGAGGTGACGGCCGGATCCGGCGGCGGCCAAGGCCTGGCGGTCGGCATCCTCAACCTCGCAATCGTGCTGCCGCAGGTGAGCTGGCAACCGGCAAGCGTTTGTTAACTTGACTAGAAGTTAACACACCCTTCGTGCTCCCAAGGTGTATTAAAAGCCCCAAAGGGTGGTTTGTACGCAGCTTGGACTTCACTGTTCCCGGGTGTTCCTTGCCAAATTGAGGCCGCCATAAATGAGCATTTGAATAGGTTGGGTGTCTATTCTTTGCGCTCCGGTTTATGAGCAAGGTGCCGAGGTGGTTATGAATAGGATAAGCCTCGCCCTTCGGCTATAACCTCCCTTGAGGCACGCTTCTGTCTTGGAATAGAATTATACCCATCTTTCAAGTCTGGTGGTCCAGACAGTCTGCTCAGGGCAACTGCCAAACCGTGATTGCCGCTTTCCGCTAATGCGGATCCTTTGCCACCTCAGAAACCTTGGAGGGCCGTCTGTCCCGATCAAGATCTTTCCTATTGTGAGCGTTCTCTTGACCCCTTCGAAAGAACAGAGACCTCGACTTTAAGACAGAACATTGCTTTCGTTTTTGCAGGTGGTTGTTTCGCTGGGTTCCGGCCCGTGGGACGCGTTGTTTGGGGGCGGGAACGAGCCGGCGTTCGTTGCGGGGGCTCTGTTTGCGCTAGCAGGTGCCGTCGTAGCCATTTTGAGACTGCCCAGAACTAGAAGTCAAGACAGACCGCCGGATTTTGTTGCTCACGGATTCCCATGAAAAACAGCCCATCTGCGCACGCTTCTCGAATAAACCCAAATGACATGTCGAGTTGCGAAAAGCTCTGGTCGACATCCACGTGGCATAACATCTGATGACGTCGTTCCTGTTTGAACGCGTGATGTAGCGTTCTCGTTTTTTTTTGGTTCACCTTTGGCAGCGGTTGTCCTCTTGGCTTGAGGCAGAATGAATGGTCAGCTTATGAAACTATGATCTACTGGGCAGACCAATAGGGGGAATCAAACGCCGAACAATTTGAGGAGCTGTCCACTATTGATTGGACAGCTCGAGCTTAGAGGCTGAGCCCGTGATTGTCGGCTGCCGCCTTCTTGTTACGTAGCCTCTATGAACTGATCGTTTGGCTTCTTTTCGTTGCCTTTTCTGGAAAAACTATAGCAACTTTATTGGACGTCGAGACTGCCATGTCTAGAGCACCCTCAGTCCAGCCCCGCTGTGCGCCGTGGCAAGCAGGGTAGGGTAGATCTCTTTAGAATCGAACTTTGTCTACGCTCCAAGGCGAGGCTGTCGGCGTTTATCATAGCGCGGAAGCTCATGTCATGTTTGGTTTCCTGCAAACGGGTGTTTGGACTGCAAGAGGACGTCGTTGAGGTGCTTGCCGTTCCGGCAGTGATTTGAGAGGTGACCTTTTTCTTTTCATTATGACCTTTGAAGCAGTAGCGATGACGATCCTAATCTGAGGCATTCACTCAGAAGCGGTTAGGTTTCAGACGCTGCACGCTGTCCGAATTTGGAAATGATTCAACGGGCATGTTGGAGCTCACAAGGTCTGCTCCTCTGCCGCTTTCCCCTTGCTGGCCCATCCTCCCTTGCAAACACGTTACCCCCTGCCTACTGACTTAGAGTGTAGATTGATGCTTTTGAGGAAAAAAGAGTTGACAGATGCTTTTCACGGAAAAGGTGCTATTGTAGCGTTGCTTTGTTGGAGCTGTCAATCTATTTATGCTCAAAGTGTGCACTCCGTCAAACCTGCCCATCTGTCCGGACTTTGACTTAGAAATGGAAGACTGGGCCATTGATGTTCTGAGCTTAGCCATTGGATGAAACACGGACTTTCATCAGAAGAGATTGACATGGTCGAGGCGGCATGGTTTGGCGAAAAATGCAATACGTTGCTGGCTTGATGTGTTAATTCTTGAGTTTCGAAATTTTGGAAGGTGAAGTCATAACGGGATGCTTCCTTGAAAGACGAAAGGGCACCTTACCACCATTTAAACAGGCATGTAGGACCGATTGCAGGCCACACACTAGTCGGCCCCCGCTTCGATTCACCCCGGCTGTTTGAGTTGACTGCGAATCTTGGTCAAGAATACCAAGGGCGGACCCTGGCCAGCCGCAGGATTTTGAGTTCAACAAGTCCGCTTGTCTAAAATCATGCCCCGTCGTCCAGAACCTTTCTGAAACGTTACGACGTTGAGCTGGGAGGATCGAACTCTCGCTGGGCATCACTTCGTGGAGTGCCCATCAAACGCAGCATCATCAGTTCGACTGAGGCTCCCTCTTCGCATGACGGTTCTGGTATCATCATCTTCTTTCAGCCGGTACTTAAAAATGCTGCAAAGAGATCGTTCTGTCCAGTCATTCGTTGTCCTACTCAGCCCAATGAAGAAAGCAGGTTACGCTCTTTTTTTGCTGCTCCGTCATTCACTCCCTGTGTTCCAAGCTTTGCGGTGTATAAGCTTATACCTCAACGTGCACGTATCATGCAATTGGGGTTAGCCGCCTCAAGTTTGAGTTCGATGAGGCGCTTGTGTGACTCCCGTTGGCAACTCATAACAGCCTGTTCAATCAAGAGGCCGACGACAACCGCTGGGCTGATCTGGCCGAAGCATCCTACTTCTTGCTGCCTATTGCCTCCCATATGCTTGCACGATAAGACAGGAAAAGAAAGTAAGGGTCTGCTTTGAGGGGAGGCGTCTCATCGACAATTTACGACTGGTTTATCAAACATCTCTACGACTGGTGAGAAAGCTTGGGGTTTCGTGCAACGCGGTTCTCTGAAGCTTCAGGCTTCCAACAAGTTGCATCTTTTTGATTCGGTGTGTCTGGCAGGCAGCGCAGGACGGTTGTCGATTACTTTCAGAGGTCTTTGTCCTCTTGGGTTCGGCAGATGGTGTGGCGTCCTTAGCAACATGCATCTCAAGTAGATATATAGATACCAAAGCCTTCGTTTGGCGGTGCATCTGGATCCCGGGCTGAAGTGCGAGAAAGAACTTCGGATGTGTGGTTTCTTGTGAAGCGAGAGAGTTGCAACCCTCAGACAGGGAGGTTCTTGACATGACGAGCACAGCCGCCGGAAGCCAGTCGCCGTTGAGATTGAGGTTGAGAAGTCAACACGGAGATCTCGGGTGAAGTTCGGCTTGAAGCCTCCCGTGGGAAGGTGAAGTTGCTGCGAAAGGAAGGAGCTCGCTTTCGATTGGGGTAAAAAGTAAAAGCTTACAAGAGAGCTCTCTTTCCCTCGCTCGTTTTTGAAGCACCTGTAGAGTGCGCTGTTCCGGGGGCGGTGAGGAAGTAAGAGCTGGAAAGGATGATCCAAGTGCGATCCGACTGCTCCCGATGCCTCAATCACTGGCAGTCTTATTGTTCAAGTGGACCCCGTAGGATACGTCCAGCCATACATATTGGAGTCGCTGTCAGAAATGTAATTGGAGGCGGATGTTCCAGCAACCCAGTCACGTATGAACTAGGTGGAGCAACGCTGTCCATGGCCGCTAAAGACTCGTTCTCGCTGACTATCCTCAATTTGTGTCCTCTGCTTTGAGGGCAGAGTCTGCTGTTGAGGACGAACTTCTCGAAGGTGTGCGTGCTGATCAGAATACTTCAAAAGATGACTGGTGTGGACTCTGGACTTGCAAACTGGTAGTGCAGACCGGCAGAGTGGGCAAAGCTATGACACCATTTTGCCAAATTTACGGTGTGCCTTCGGATGAGTTCTGCCCTAGATTCCAATCACGAGATTGTAAGACACGCCCGCGCGTTGATTCTCTTATGCGTTGGTCTATCTGCAGTGAAGCTTTGCTGACAGCTTTTCAGACGCTTGAGCGTTCCGTCCCAAGCTACCACACAAAGCACCTCCTTCTTTGCTCGACAATTAAGATGATGAGTAAAACCGTCACTCCTGGATACACAAGATTTATTCTTCCGTTTTCCTCGCTGTCCTTTTTACCAAGGCTACGGTTCTTCGGTTACGTGAGGGCGATCGCAATCGCTCGCCAAACTTTCTGCTCTCTCTGCCGCCAGCCATTGAAGAGGCGATGTGGAGATCAGGTGGGCTAGCAAATTTGGGCCCAGAAAGATCTTGACCCAGATCTTGTCTCTGATGCCTCGAAACTTCACAAGTGCTTGTCATTCACCGGCTTCGCAAGTGACTACGTTTAAGGCGCCCCGCTATGAACATCAGTTCTGATGAAGCGATTCCTCTAGTCAAATACTTCCGTTGGCACCCACTGCTCGATGCCTGATTCCCCCAAGTCATCCGATTCAATGGAGCTTTATTGTGGCAGATTCAGACCAAGTGTTGCAGTATCTGAAAGCTAGCTTCCCGCGGTCTGTATCTTAGGAAAAGCGTGTTGCATTTCAAAATCGTGTTCAGGTGCGTTGCGAGGGTTGATTGTGCATTTAATCCGGGGGATCAGACTGCGGGAAGGATTGTTTTTGATGGCTCGGGCCAGATTGCCAATCTACTGAATTCGCTTGTCAAGTTCCTAGTCGCAATTGCAGATTCACAGTTGACATCCGTAACGACGCCACAAAGTCTGCCGTCTCTCGCCCTAGCCAGTGACCCTCTGCGGGGTAATCCACCTTTGGAGGAAGCTGGTTGCGGTATTAATCGATGCTCAGAAGCTGCCAGCTAGTAAGAGCAGCAAAAGCTGCATGGGTCCACGCTTCTGAAGGAGTGCATCGCGACTCGGACTCACTTTTATAATCTGTCATTCACTGCGGCCAGCACTTATTTCAATCGGTTTGCATTTGTTGCAGCCGCAGGAACCCAAATGGTACCAACTGCCCGAAAGCCTTCTTCGTCTAGAGGTTGTGATGACATTCTCGCCTGACATGAATGTGGTTCATATCAACCAGATACTGCGCATGTCATGCTTGAATTCAGCACATTCAAACGCCTCCAAATGACATCTTACAGTTCGTGTCCGCAGCGTCTGGAGCAGCTTGCCTCCGAAACTCCCTGCAAGTTGTGCAAACCTGTGCCGGGAGCAGCGTCCTATCATTGTACGCCGAAAGGCAGGTCCTTGCCCCCCAGAATCATTCTGAGATAAGCGTATCTCCTTACGGTACCCGTTGACTTCTGGCTAACCTGCAAAGCAGTACTGGGGCACCCTGATACAACTACCTGTGAGAATCAGATGGTGTACCGGGCGACAATCAGTTTGTCAGATGTCAAAACAGTCCTCAACGTTTCTGAAACCTCTCTCAGTATGGCTGAATGGTCCTCGTTGGACGAGGGACGTATCCGGGATGCGAGTCGTTTTTCTCCTCAGCGAACTCACCTGGTCTGTTGTCCTCAGCCTGGTGTCTTTCGGCGGAAAGGCAATGAGGGCCTTGAAAGAGTGGGCACGACGACAATGCCCACTCTCAGCGCTGAAGCCATTCCGCTCATGATGTGATGCGCTGACAGACTTGCCCTTTGTCATTCCCAACAAGATTGGTAGAAGGCACGAAGTGATCAATTGCAAGAGGGATTCGTCATCGGATGCAAAGCGACGCAGTCGCGGTCTCAACTTAAAGAGCGCCGCGCAATGAAACCGAGTGACTGTCACCATCTACTTGTACCACAGATCGACTCCCAAAGCTTTGTTCTGATTCTCGATCACGCTGGAAAGGATTCCGTAGCCCGTTTGTGCGGGTTGACGTCCACTTGAGCTAGCTTGATGTGGCGAAGGAAGCCGTTCACAAACTTCGCGGAGGCCGAGATTGTTTACGTTTTTCTGGTTTGCGTACACTTGGCATTGACGAGCTTGGGCGCACATCTAGGCCCATGCTGAAACTCAGGTTCCATGGTCACCACCGAGCCATGAACCTCACTTTGGGATCTTGTGACAGCCACGAAACTTTTCTATGAAAGCGGGTTTCAGGACTCTTACCGGACACCCTTTAC